TGGGGTGTGTGGCTTTGATGGGGTCATGTCTTTGAGGTGTGGCTCTGACTATCATGAAAGGACCCCCTCACACACACACACACACACACACACACACACTTCTAAATTCGCCACTATACCACTCCTTGCAACTAGAAGTCCTGAAAAATGGTTAGTTTTGCATCTAACAATCAACTTAGGACATGAGACAATTCTAGGCTATTCCAGCACAGGGTGGAGCCACCCCCATCTTGTTCAGGCTTTGAGTTGAGAGAAGGCAAAAAAGAAAAGAAAACCTCAAGGAAGAATGCAGAATACAAATTACGTTTCATTTATTAATATGATTTTAATATAAAACACACTCAGTCCCCCCTCTCTTTCTGACTGATATAGGCATAAAAAGTAATTAGGAAGCTTATGTCCAGCAAACTGTTTACTAGGGGCAAGGGAATCAAGTGGACCTCTTCTTGCAAAGGAAGGCTTTTGCTGGACTCCCACTTGCTGTAGGTCAGCCATCCAAGCTGGTGCTGTCTGAAGTATTCTGCGAATTGTAGTCTTAATTATCTGGAGAACAACAGGAAGGGGAAGGTTGGTGTAGTTGCTTCTACATCAGCTATTTGTGTCACAGATAAGTCCAAGAGTTCCTGATTATTAGAAAACAAGGAGGAATTTGCAAGTTCTCCCTCTAATGGGAAACATGAAGCTTGCCCTACAGACCTTAAAACGCTTTCATACCACTTTGAAGCTGACAACATTTATGTATTAGTACAGGACAGTAACAGCAAGCCAACAGTCCTATTTTGGACAAATGCTAGGTAAACTGTGTAAGATAGTTCCCAAATGATGCATGCCAGCAAGCTGTATCTATCTGCAGCTAAACATCTATAACCACAACACATCGTGTTTCCACCTTCATGGAGCAAGTAGCAGGCACCACTTTGCACTAACTAAATCTGTTAAAAATTATGTAGTAATAACATAATTCTAGTAGTAGCACGAGTAGTAGTGTAATAGTAGTAGCCAGTAGCATAACTCAGATGAATTTGATCTAGTTATGCATTGTATTAACTAGTATTACATCTGGGTTTCCTTTGAATTGTTTGACCATTAATTTCAACAATTGGTGAGATAATGTATTTTGAGGATTTGTTTCTCTTACTAACCTTCTTCAGACAAGCTAGGTGCACACTGACTACTTAAAAAGCTTTGCAGAGTGTGGGTGGTAGGCTTTGAGGTAAGGCTTGAAGCAAGTCTAGCTCAGTAATGCCTCCTGCTTCTCTGAAGTGCATTCAGCATTCCAGTTACCTAAAGTCCACAGGCTGCCACTCTGACATGTTGAAACAGCTCATTGTGCTGCAGCCCCAAGTAGCTACCATTGGTTAGTAGTCACCTGGGAGTACCTTTAGTGCCAGTTAAATGAGATGCCCACAATGTGCAAAACAGCTGTGCAGAATGCTATGCAGATTGCAGGTATAGTTGAAGCACTCCAAAGCCATGTACAAGACCCTCGATGAGCAGCATTCAGATGCTGACAACACTGCTGTGTGTGGATATCTGGTATGATCTATGCAGGCTGCTAGCTCAGGACGGGCCATAGCTCAAGAGCAAAACATATGCTTTGCAGAAGGTCCTAGGTTTGACCCCTTACATCTCCATGCAAATTTTCTACGTGAAACCTTGGTCAGCCATTCCAGCCAGTATCAGTAATACCACGTTAGATGGACCAAGGATCTGACTCATTGTAAGGTAGCTTCCTTTCCCTTAGATGGGAACTGGGAAGGCTAATTAATTTTGGAGAAAGGTCATAGCTTGGTGGCAAAGCTCCCGCTTTGTAAGCAGCTCCTAACTTCAATCCCTGGAGTCTCCTGGTACAGCTGCAAAAACTGCCTGATACCCTAGAGGACTGCTGGCACAATCTGCACTATGGAGTTGCCTAAAGGTTGACTCTGAGTTTTCACTGAACCATGGGTTGTTGAAATGTGGCTTATCATGTTGCCTGAGCCCAGCCATGCTAACAAACTGTAATTTGCTAACCGCAAACAACCTACAGTTTGCAATGCAACAACCATGGGTTGTTTGTGGTTAACAGGTTAATAGGTTGTTAGTGCAGGTGAGTTCAGACTAGGGATGTGTGAGAAATCTGTTTTGGGAGTGGGAATACATTGGATTCCCTGGGCTCCACTCCCTGCACTCTGATCCCCTTTGTTGCTGCTCTGTGTCCAAGTTCCTGGTGGGTGGCCCCAGCATTCATGGGACACTCACCAGGAATTGAGCCCCATGTGCTGTGCAAGCAGCTTTCCTCTTCTGCACCATCTTTGTCCTGGAGTGTTCACAGACTTCCTTTCAACTCAGTTTGCTTTCCAAGACCAAGCTGCACATGAGAAGTCCACAAATGATAGAGGGACAGATTCTGATGATTTCGTCCCAACCCTAATTCAGACAACACAATCCATGACTCAACAACCCACATTCAGTACTTGAGTGTAGATTACTCTGTGGTCTGTACTGATAATACTGAGCTAGCCAGACCAAGCATCTGATTCAAGGCAGCTTCCTATGTCTCTCCATGAATTCAAAAGCCTTTAAATGTGATGCTAGGCTACATGTCATCCTGCATAAGTTTTTTTAAGGACAGCATGCTATTTAAATCCAGTCTCTATTACCTTCTAAGTATTATTTTTATTTAAGATGTTTACATACCTCACACATAAAATATTAAAACAGTAATAGAACACCAAAGGCAAGCTATAAAGGAAAAATTCTTGGAAAGCTAAATGCATCTCATGTTCAGAGACAGTGGCACTTGGGATTCAGGAAGTCACTGAGGCAGAACAAAGGGAACTAGATGGTGGATCACTCACCAGGTTTTAAAAGTGCCTCGAATTCTAAGTAACATTCAGCTCAGAAATCATTGTGTTCAATATAGGTTAGTGTGATTCTTTTATACTATGGTTAGAGATCCCAGTACATTGAAAATGCTGTAGATTTTAATAAAAATACCAAGTGGCACACACAGAGTGTAGCTGAAAATACACATCAGGCCATGTGTAAAAACAGCAAATGCTGGGGGGTTTGCATGTTCTCCTCCTCCCACAAAAACAATTTGTGGCCCTCTAGATTTAACTCCTATGAGACAAGGGAGAAATGTCAGGATAAAGTCCAAGTCTTGCCCTCCCCTGTGCTAAAATTTCCTCTTTTGTATGTTCAGTCTCAAGGTGCCTCATGCTAAACAAATTCTGCTGCACTAAAGAAATGTGTGTCTTCACAAAGAACCGTCTCCACAATCTATATTAAGTTTATTGTTGTGGAAAGTAGTATGTGAAACGGGGTGCACAAAAGAAATGCTCAAAAAGAATGCCAGTCTTGCTTGCACAATTAGTGACATGGAATGAAAGCAGATATGACACTCTTTTAGTGTTATGTCAAGAGACTGTTGTTTGCACAAGAAAACCCAGGGTTTTAAAAGCCAGGGTGGCTGTGGATGCAGCAGTGGACTCATGCGCACTGCCAGATTGGAGAGGATGGGTCCAGCTCTGGCTTGTCTCTCATGCAACTAGCCCAAGCGCCTTGGTTGCACATCACACTAAATCCAGCAGTGGAATAGCTCTGGGTTGCATAGCTGCTTCCACTTGCAATGAACATGACAAAACAACATACATCAATAGCATTGCTAGCTCCTGGTAGCCAAGAGTTCAAAACAAAACAATAGGGTGGTTGCACCATGTAAACTATGTCAATAAGTACAGCCAACCTGAGTTAGCTGAAAGTTAAAAAATGGCTTCAGGAAGTCATCCAATATTGCAAACATATGAGTTGAAACATTTGAGGTTTCCATTTGATAAACCCAGTGATCTTTTCATTACATTTTTCTCTCTTCTATGAGACCTAAAGTGGGAACCAGTGTGATGTAGTGGTTAAGAGCATGAGACCAGGACTCAGGAGATTTGAGTTCTAGTCCCTGCTCAGTCATGGAGCTAACTGAGTGACCCTGGGGTATTCACAGACTCTCAGCCCAGCCTTCCTCACAGGGTTGTTGTTCTTGGGATAAGATGAAAAGCAGGAGGAGGAGAATGATGTAAGCCACCTTGAGTTCTTTTTTCAGTAAATAGGCAGGATATAAACTGAATGAATGAATGACTGAAACTTCTGCTTATAGATGTACTTGTTCACAATACGGCAAAGACTGTGGGAATGGATCCAAGAGTCCTGCTGACTGAAGAAAGGAAGACAGACAGACATTAGGAAGCCACTTTAAGGCAAACTGATCTATGAATTTGTACACAATCATGGCCAGTCCTTAGTGTTTCATAAACCTTTCTCTTTTTGAAAATGCCTATTACATTACATTAGAGGTAAACAACTCTGTGATTAAAAGGGGGATTAGAAAATGATCATAAAAGAACTGCAATATAAAGTGAAGAAAAGAAGAGAAGGAGAGAGGCTAGTTTACTTAAAATAATGCTGATGCACATTGCTTTGTGGCCATTTTCTGCTTTGATCATCTCAATTTTGCATGTTCAAAAGGTGCAATAATATTGCAGCAAAAGGAATGATGGGCTGAAATCATGTTAAAATAGGATTTGTTTTCAGGGAGTATACCCGAATACTAATTCTACTCCATTATAGTTTCAGTGGTGATTAAAGTTTTTCCACAGTATTGTAAAGGCAGAACACAAAACAAAAACAGAAGCATAGAATTTTAACAAAAAACAGTAAGCTCTGCATATAAAATCCATTCCTATCTTAATATTTATGTAAAAAAGGGCAGCTATTAAACACAAATTGCAAAAGTAGGCAAATGCAAGCAGCAAGTCTACAATCTATAACTGTTATATATAATGTAAATTAAAGCATACACACATAAAAGGTGAAATTTTAATCGCTTAAGATTATTTGCTGGTTGCACATTTAACATGTAATGAATGTGGTAAGCCTTAAAAATGACCTCCACAAAAACTGTGATCAAAGCTCAGAGGTTATCTGTTAACAGTCATCTCTGTACACAAGAAAAATACACATGCTTTCTGTAACAGCCAAGAAAAACTGCAGTTTATTAAGTTTCAAAGAATCTTCGTACTCTTGAAAGCAACTTCTGGTGCATGTTTTTAACAATCACATTCTATGAGGAGAAATAACATTAAAAGCCACAAACTTTTTTATCTTTTCATCTCAGAGTTACAGACATCTTGAATTCAAAATGAAAGGCAAAAAACAAAACAAAACAAAAACAGTTTTTTTAAAAAATGTCCATCCCCAATTTTAAATGATCGGGAGTTCTTCTACAACTCATTACTAAACTTTAGCATGGAAAATTGTATTGACTATTTCAATCCGCACATAGGCACATATGTATTTTATATATAAATATGTTTGTGTGTGTGTGTATGTGTGTATGTGTTAAGAGAAAGATATATACAGAATACATATGTAGAGTGCGTGTAATGAGAATGAGATGCAATCACTCTGAGAAAAGGGTATTCAGCTAAATACACTACGAAAACTTGAGAAAACACAAGTATGGAACCCAATCTGTGCATAGTTCATGATCCTCTAGAAAACCAGCTTTTGTTGATTTGCAATCTTGCAGGACCCTTTTTAATTGGACAAAACCATTAAAAAGCTAATCTTTAACAAAACAAAACAAAACAAAATGTAATGCACAAGTTTCCTGATCCAAGCAGGCAGGGAGAACAATGTTCATATAATTTTTAAAAACATACTCAAAGGGTATGTTATTCCATTGTCTTTCTTCCTTTCAAAACAATCAAAAACATTGATCATTTTTAAACATAAAGCAATTTTTTAATATATAAAGCACTCTTCAAACATCTATTTCTTTTGAGTCCATTATTTGGTAAATATGTAACTGCTACACATTAGATTAGGTATTTTTCTTCTCTTACTGTCTTTTTTATTTCATTTTTTCATTTTGTTTTTTAATAATATCTTCAGTGCTAGGAGTTGGGTTTAAAAAATACATGAAATGGTGTGGAGTTGCTCCTCGGGAAACCCGGCTTTCCTGAGACATCTTCCACCATGTGCAAGATAGTGATCACAATATTTTTCGCCACTCTTGACGAAGAGAAAAACAACAACAAAAAGAGTACACAGCAATGGCCAAAGAAAAGGATAAACAACAACAACAACAATAACAACAACAACAAACACTGTTCAATCCCAGAGCTCTGAAGTAGCATATCTTCATTCTGAAAATAGGTTTCTTTATGATGGAAGTCTATTTTTTTTCTTTTTTTCAATTCCTTTTTTTATTTTAAAGTTTGAAGGAGGAAAAAAAAGGTCTGTAAACAGGTGGGAGCTGAAACCGTAGGCTCCTCCAAAAGCAGTCAAAACCCATGTCCAAGTGCTTGTTTCTGTTCCGGCTTGCAGGGAACCATCCACTCTTTACAAGTATTTATGGCCACAGTTCAACAAGAGTTTTTTCCTTTTTTTTTTTTTTTTTACTTTATATTCCGAATGGGGAAAAATGGTGCAATACTCCGGTAATTATTTCCTTGCATTAGTCCACAATAAAAAGCTGCTAAAGGTAGATATACATATTATTCTCCAGAGATACACACTGTAAGTTTTTAAAATGCGGTAAGAGTCCTTGAGTAAACATTTACACATGAATTGTCGCCAGCCCCTCCTATCAGTTTTTTTCTTAAAAAAAAAGTAGGATTAGCTACAAGAAGGGCTGTGGACACTCAGTGCAAAGTTAGAAGCTAATAACAAATGTTTGACCAATGAGCAAATCAAAAGCATATACTGAGAAGGAAAAAAGAAAAAAAATCACACTGTTTGTTAGGTTGTACAGCTGGCGCGCACACACACGTCCATACGCTCACACATCGATCCATCTTTCCCCCAATGCATACATATAAGAAAGAACTGAACAACAATAACAAAAATATTCCTAGAGCCTGTTCATTTGTGTTCTGATGCCAACCTGGAAGTGTAATAATAGAAAGTGTTCACATTTTGTTATTGGCCTGCTGGATTCAAGTATAGTTGCATGTTTGATATGTGTTTTTTTTCCAAAAAAAAAAAAAACCCAAAAAACAAAACAAAACCAAAACAAAATTTTGTTTTACTATTTTGGGGGGGAGATTAAAGAAAAGAACAATGACACAAAAAGTAATGAAACAAGTGTAATAACAATGTGCATAGGCAAGACCCACGGGAGCAGTGGACATGGAGATTCCACCTCGCCCACCTCTCAAGCCAAGTTGTACAGCTAAGGGGCGTAAGATTTGTTCCCCATTGCTGCTGATGGGCTGGTCGGATGCCACCCCCTACTGATTACTGGATCCGCCTCTGGTAATGTGCATAATTATCACAGGCTCATTTTAAATAGGCTTTCTCACATCCCCCCTTCATCCCTCCCCCACTCCCAAAGTTGATAAAATAACCCTTTCCAGCCCAAATTCTGAAAAGTGCCCTTCATGATAGAACTAGTCTAAGCAGCTTTTATACGTCTTTAAAAACACCATACAAACATAAAAACAAAATTAAAAAGCCATTGGAAAAAAACCCACATAAAACCTATCATTAGCACGTGACACTGACCAAAGGGAGCCCATACTGTTGCACTAACAGTTCACAAGGACTTCGGCAGAGTTTCATAGTCGATATTGGACAGAGGTACTAAAAAGGGCTGCCAGTCTGATCTATTAAAGCTGGATTCTTTGCGATGCCCTGGACTGGAAAGGGTTACCATTATTTTTTCTTTAGTGCTGATGATTGTTACTTCCACTTGTTTCTCTGGTGTCCTAGATGGACTCCCCGCTGAGAAGGTCACCTGGGAGCAGAGTATTCAAAGGCGTTGGGCTTCCGATAACCCTGCCATCATCGGTGCTGGGTGGACCCCAAAGGCTGCTTGAGTACTGAGGGACCCCGCCCCAGAGCAGGTCGCTGCTCCCTTTCCCACCTAGGCAGGGGGTATTCCAGTGGCCTGCATCGTTGCGCACCATGCCGTGTGAGCCACTTGTGGATCCCAAGCGTGTCTGGGTGGTTCCAGTGTTCGACTGCCAACTGGAGGTGGGGGGCAGTGGCTGGCCTTGTGCTAAAAAACGGTTCACTTCCTCTTCTCCAGCGAACTCGGCCAAGATGGTTGTGTTCCCCAAAACACACCTGGAAACAGAGGGGAAAACACAGGGATGCTTAAAGGGAAATCGCTGATGCATACTTGGCAGTGGGTGCAGAGGTGGCTAAGGCTATTTCCATAATCAGCAGAAATTCAATATCATGCTATGAAGACCTGACAAACCAGTACCTCCTCTGTTTGAATTACCTATGTATTTCTCCAGCTGTCACCCAATGGACAGGCTGTTAGATTTAGATATGAGATCATGAAGCTCATTGCATCAGAAGGATTTCCAGATGCATGTAGCACAATGTAGTCAAACATTTATTTTGCAGGATTTATTCTGAATCCAATATATGGGCTTCCATGAGTTGGGAATGTTCTTTTCAGAGTATTTTCCCTAGACCATTCAAGGGGAAAAACAAACTGAGGAGGTGGCAGAGATGCCAGATACACTAAAAAGCTAAGTTAGTTCTCTTTTGTCTATCTACTCAGATGTCAAAGACACAAGTGGCTGATATGTAAATCTTTACTCCATGGCCTTTTGTTGCACTCATGACTACTTGTTCAAATTCTAAAACATTTAGACATTCCAGCACTTCTACTAGCAAAGGAGAACATAGTTTTATCTTTGAGAAAGTATTCCAATCATGTATCATACTATTCCTTCTATGTACAGGTATGTATCTGTCCACTTTCTCCCCTTGAACTGCATTGCTAGCATGCATGAGAGATACCATGTGAAAGCTGAGGAGGAGAGATCAGAACTGGCAGTGTTTAAGAAACCTGCAGCCTTTCCGCATGGAACAGAATCTCCAAATTTCCTTCCCTGTTGGGGAATAGCATGCTTTCAGCCACTTTAGGGAGACATCAGTAACAATTACACCAATATACACCCTCATGCTAGGGTGAGACTAAAGCTTAAATGTAAAACTTAAATGTGTGGGCCTACAGAAGTGGGTAGCAACAAGCACAGCAACTTATGAAAACATACTTCTGAAGCACTGACAGAGATGAAGAACCAAAGCTACAGCAAAGGAGTAAGCAGGAGCCAAAAAAGAGCAACTGGAAACAAAATTAGCTGGGAGGGGAAGCTGGGCTGGAATTTCTTTACCCATTTAGCTAGTTATCTTTAAGGTTTCCTCTCTATATGCATCTATATTCCCATCTAGTCAGCATCTCACTAGTTACAATGAAAATCATCAGAGATCTCAATCAATTGTTGAATAACTCTTAATTTCTGGCTTTAAATTATGAGATAACACAGAAATGTCTCAAAGGTGGAGATGATCTTCTGCTATGTCTGCGCTCTCTCTGCTCCCCTTGCCCCTTTAATGCAAGCTGTATAATACCAAACCTAATTTTACAGGCTTTGAATAAAGCTGCCATTTCCTGGGCTGGTGAATAAGATGAAAAGGCTGAAATGAATCTACCTAGGCTACCTAGAATCTAAACCCTAGGCTGAAATGAATCTACCACCTTATGGATTTGACAGTTCTTCTAGGCATACCCTAAATCATAAGGGTGACTTTTTCTTAATGCCTGCTTCTCTGTATTTCATAACTAATTTTCCATTATTCAGTTCTCCTATTTCTGCTCTCAGACATTAGTGACAGATCCAGCAAACTCAGGAGGCTGACCATACTTGAACCATAGCAAATACTGAACAGATTGCATACATATGCAGGGACTTCTGGGCCTTCGCTGCTTCTTCCTTAGAACTATATCGGACCACAGCATTCCCTTGAGTCAGGTTCAGATGGAATGTAATAAGAGGACCATGCTGCAAGCACAGAGTACGCAGTGTGGAGCCATCAATCTAATTGGAAAAGGAGAAAAAAGCAGATTGGTTTATTCTTTTTCTTCCCTGGTGCCTGTCATTAAGCCTTCATTAACGGTGGGCAAGCTTTTAACAAGAAAGTCAAAATATTATTCTCAGAAAATACAGAACAGCTTATTAAATTTTGATTTACCTTCATGTGAGACCAGCATACTCTATCAGAGCTGATGCAGCCAGCAGAAGGGATGGAATGTGTTACCTATCTGTGTTATGTCAAAAGGCAGGTAATATTGGCAGGATGAGGAAGGAGGTATTAAAGCATAGTTGTAATATCCAAGGATTACCAAAAGCATGCTATGCTCAGATACATTATTTCTGAAGATCTATTTTCCTCTCCTTGGGTTATATCCAATATTAGCCCTATTTAAAACAAATGTACTAAAATGCATGAGACTTAATGCATGAGACATTGGTACAACCCACTGTTTGTTACAATCAAGTTGTTTCTGTAAGTCTCTATGCTAAGAATTTTGAGGGCATTTTATTAAATCTGAAAGCTTAAATTGGTTGTATTGTTTAATTAACTCATTAAATTGAAGACAAATTAATCAGACTTGTCTTAAGGTAATGCCTTTGATCTGGCTTCAAACACTATTTCTGGTCAGGTTGTCTTAGATTTTTCTTTTTTTGGACTGAATGACTTTGTTACTTCGTTACTACACTTAGCATTTGTCTTGTTGTAATAGTGTAATGTGCAACTAGCAAATCTTTTATTAGTTAGGGCAAATTCACATATTCTCTTGCTACACCTGTATCTCCTTTTTGCCCCCACCAACTGTACAAGATCTAACACCTGAAGAGGAAACATATGCATCTCCCCTAGGAGAGTTGCACCCATTTCTGGGGCCCAGCACTTCACTATTGAAGGGAACTGTGGCTTTCCTCTGCAGCTATTATAATATGGAAAAGTCATGTGAGAAGTCATGTTTCATGCACTTGCTCTTACTGCTTCCATACAGTATCCAAAGCAATGGCATGTGAGTTGTGTGGTGGCCATGTCCCAGTATGTGTGGACTTTCTGTAACACATATACCACTAGCCATACAGCTAAAAGTGAACTTAGTGGTTTGGACATGATGAATAAGTGTCCCTATCTAGCTCTGAAATCCCTTACACAAGAGTGGGTTGATGGCTCCACTCCTTGCCAGCTTTTTTAAAAAAAGATCAGTGTTTAAAACGGCTTGTGTTTGTTGCTATCTCTGCAATGTGATTTATGGTAAAAGAATTCAAGCAAAAATGAACAGGTTAGAAAACATTTTCTTTTACATGAGGATTAAATAACAATATAGCTGCTCTCAAGAATGAGGCCTTGAATGCAATTCTAAACACCGCACTGCCTGTCATTGCTGCAAACAGTAAGCAACATGTCAAATCATGCAACTTTCTGCCCCAGCAAACAAGTGCTTAAAATGGAGTGCTCCAAAGGCTGTGGTAGCATATGGTCATAAACATGCTGCAAGCTGCAGGCAGACACCCAGCAGAAGCCCCTTGAAGCAGGTGACCAGGTGTTCCCTCCTGGATAGCCCAGGTAGTCCACAGCTCTTGGTTCCATTTAGCCAACCTGTTTTGCTTACCTGGGGTGTGAGGTTCCGGAGAACCAGCCAGCTACTTGTTCTTCCTGAGCTGTCAGTACTCCAGGCTGAGCCTATACCACAAAGAGGAGGAAGATGAGGGAGAGTTCAACCCAACCAAGTGAACAAAGGCATCATGCAGCACCAACCAAAGCACAAGCAATACAACTGCTACAGGGATTTCCCAGAATGCTTGCTGAAATTGTTTTTTTGACCACCTGATTCAACAAACACCTGCTAGACTGTCTTGCTTGCTTGCTGTTCTGTGCTACAGAAGAGATACCTTGAACACCATCATGGATGGAATGAAGTGGACTTTAGTCTGGGGCGGGCAGAAAAGAGATCTTAAGATAAGCTGACTTAAGGCTGCAGGTATCCTGCATATCCTAGCTGAATATTCCTTGTTGAGTAAATCAGTGAGAAGTATGTCCTGAGAGCAGAATGCCATGGGATGCACTTCAGAAAATAAACAAGTTAAGCACATGCTTCTCAGATGGGATCCAGACATGCCACACGCATGGCTTTTATGGGAGTAGCAACCATTACATGTACTTTGAAGTTTCCAATCAACTGTGGATTTTCAGCTTGATATTTTTCTCCCTTAAGGCCGTATTTAGTTGTTGAACCCACATTCGCCACTTGTCTAATGTATAATGCATTGCACAGGCAGAAATATAATCGCGGTCAATTCACTTTTTGTGTTTTGCTGCTCCACTGTTAAAATTTTAGGAAAGCCAGTCTTAATTCAACAAGAAGTACCACAATGATGACAGGAAGGACAAGCAAGCACTTCATTTTCATCAGTTGCTTAATTTTATAAGGAGAAACTGCATTGCTACAATATTTATATGGCAACATTTACAAAAGTTGCATAACTTCCAAAAAAGGCAGGTTACTAATACTCAAGATGAAGGTAGGATCTTTGCTACTTGTCCACCAGGAGGAGCTCATAAAAAATTAAACATAATTGTATATTTTAAAAATGGGTGATGAAAGAAGCTCAGTTCCACAGTTACTGGTGAAACAATATGATATTGTTTATTTGAAAGGGATGCTGAATTTTAAAAATAAGATGAAGAAATCCATTTGAAATAGTGTATCATATGCAAAGTGCAAGTTGCATATAATAAATTGATAGTAAATCCAGGAAGTTAGACGTACTGGGTGTAACATGTTAGGACATTTACTATAAATTGATAGTAAATCCAGGAAGTTAGACGTAGTGGGTGTAACATGTTAGGACATGGAGAAATTATTCTTTTCGCTTTTAGCCCTGGATATACACTCCCCTTGCATTATGCCATTTTAAGTACTAATTTACACAGCCTTGCAAATACTTGATACTGCTTTCTAAAGGATTCTGTTAGGTGGTCCATACTTATTTAGGGATCGTTAGGGACCATAGTGCAGAAAAACAAAAATGACAACACACATTTAGTGGTTCTCTTTCTCTAAAGTTATGCTTCAGTATTTACTCAGCATTACCCCTCATTTACCTTCAATTTCCTGACTGGCTACCATAGCCTGCCTCAATCTCACAAACAAACTCACAAACAAACAAACAATAGGAGCCAGGAGTACCAGAGGAGTAAGAGCTGGTCCAACCCAGTGGGCTGGCACCCCAGGTAGATGAGGGCTTGGTGTTTGTTAAGCCTGGAGGTGGTCTTGTAGGAGCAGTAGTGTTTCTGGGTACCTTCCACAGTTCATGGGACAAAGAGGCTTGTGTGTGAGAAATTGGGCCAGAAGACCATGTTGACTTGATGTCTGACAATTTACCTGCAAAAGAGAAATACAATTAATGTATTTGCTAGAACATCAGATAAGGGTAGTGTGTGATCAGCAGCATTCTCTTCCCATCTTCACTCCAGCGTACAAAGTACTGTATGTGGTTATGCGCCGTCGTCTTCAACTTAAGGTGACCCTATGAACAAAAGCCCTCCAAAATGTCCTATCCATGACAGCTCTGCTCAGCTGTTCTAAATTTAAGGCTGTGCTTCCTTTATGGAGTCAATCCATTTCTTATAAGAACTGTATATTCCACAGCAAATAGTGAAAATCACATGACTGATGATTACTGATACAGCTTCTCTTGTTAATTGAAGTGGAGTTCTCTCTGACATGTTAGTATTATTTAACCAGAAACTTAAATTTAACCAGAATTGTTCTTCATGGTTTTGACAAAAACATGATATAGAAGATAAAAGATAAAATATTGATGGTGAAATAAAACCAAATATTTACAAGGTTCACATGATTTACTACTTTTTTTTATTTTTCTTCTATCAACACAGCTGCTCTTTTTTTATGAACAGTAGAGAAAGTAGATCTAAACTTACTGGTAGATCTCTGGGTGATTTCCAATAGATAAGCAAGGGTCTCCAACTTCCAGTATTTAGCACCAGCAATTTTTAGGTCTAAATTATACTGTTAGAATCCCTGATCTATAGCAACACAGGTGGAGATTTGTAGTTGTATAGGTCATCCCAGTGTACGACACATTATGTGGTGCAGTAGATGGAGGGTCGATGGATCTACCAGCCTCCTGGCTCCAAAAGTGATCTGCTGCTAAATCCCATTGCCACCGTATTTCACTCTTCCTCTCCTCTTCCCACAGCATGGAGAAGCAACGAGAGGCCACACCAGGCCATTGCCTACTAATCTGCTAACAGTTCCCTTTCTGGTGGATGCTGTGATTTCTTTCTTATTGCATCTGGTGGGTGCTGTTATTTCTTTCTTATTGGTAGTTTTTTATTTGATGAGTTTTAGCTTTTCAATTATATGTTTGTTCAATTATTTATATTTTATTTTTAGTGGAAGCTAGAATACAAAGTAAATAATCATCTGTAGGAAGAGGATTGGAAATAGGGGTGAAGCATAGCATGCAAGAGGAGAGGGAGACAGATGAAAGGAAGTCTCTTCCTTCACACTTTCAGTTATTCATTCAAGCACCACGGAAGATGGAGAGAAAAATAACCCATTCATTTCTCAACTGGCAACTGGAAGGGGCTGGTCAAACTCCTCTGAGACCTAGGCTAGAAGTTCTTAGTCATACCATAGGTTTGGTAATAAGATGTCTCTAGATGGTACAGAAAGAGCAGGATCTCCTATACTAATCTGAAAAGCTTCCATGAGGAGGACCTCTCATGGCGTGACCATTGCTATTGTAATAATCCTGACTCATTTTTAACATCACTGCCAGATCTTTAATATGATCTATGAAATTTTAATTTTGAGGACAAGTGGTCATTCTAAAGCTGAACCAGTAAAAATGGATTAAAGCAAAGAAATGAGCTGCACTTGGATGTCCACCGTATTGGTAAGAAAAGTACAACACAATATCCCATCCTTCAAATATTTCAAATATTGTAGAAAGGCAACTGGTTCACAAATTGCCTAAGACTGCCATCCTAAACACATCTACTAAGCAGTAAGCACTGCCAGCTTGTCCTGTAAGCATGCAGGTGAAATACACAGCAGGGTCCTAACATGAACCTCTGCCTTATGTGCTCTTCTCCACCATGCATTTAACTTTTAATGAAAGCCAGAAAATTATTTCTCCTAAATGCAAACGTTTCAGCAAGACGAGCTTCAAGGAAAAAACTAGTAAGAACTGCAGAATCAGTCTTAAGCCTGATTAAGCCTGGTCTTAATTACTATACACTTGCTTATTAACAGCATTGTTAAACCAGCCTTTTAGAAATAGTTTTAGGCACTATGTTATTAATTCTCACACAGTGATTGTACATAAAAGGTACAGTATTAGTAGAAAAGCAAAAGTCACACAAAAGAGATGTACATGGCAGTTGAAATGAAAGATAGCAAATGGTTATTTTATCTCCTTTTAAAGAATTGTAGAAAGAGCCCATGTGCTGATAATTTCTGTTTTATTACTACTACTATTATTAATTTCATTTCTATACTGCCCCAAAGCTCTCTGGGCAGTTCACATATATGCAACTTCACTGCTTACTCTAAAAAGCTGAAGGCTTAACCAGTATGTCAATTGCCAACAACAGCCCATACAAAATAAAAAATATACCAAATTACTAGGAATACTGTTCTTTCCATTGCAGGAGTTAACAAGAGATGTATTAAGAATAGGTTCAGCAATCCAACAGGAAAGGAGGAAAGTCTTTGATGCCAAAGTAGGCTTGAAAGACAATTTCCAAAACCACCAAGATCACGTGCATGCATGCAACCCTGTGCTCATGGAGTCAAGCTTTGGGTCTTCCCAACATCTTCCCCCATTCAGTCTGCAAAAGCAATGGGGTGGGGAAATGATCTGAAATAAATGAAAGGAACCCAGTTGTGCATATAAGTTTGGCACATGTGCTAACAGTGTGGGATAATGAAACAAGACAACAACTGAATGAGTGCAAGGAAAATACTTGAGCTTTTTGTATAGTTTTCTTAGCTTGGTTTTAACTGAATTTCAGCTTTAACTAAATCAAGAAACTCACTGCTACTGGAATTATTGAAGAGGCAGCCTGAGTCTGTAGCCATTCATGATGGCAGATTACATGCTGTTTACAACAGGAGGGCTAAGAACTGTAAAAAATATGTCTCAAAGGGGGAAAACGAATGCTCATAATAATTGTAAGATTTTAGAGCACAATAAAAAAAAACAACAGATCTATGTGTTGCCCAACTGCTGTCTGTAGCACACATTCCTTTCCATTTTCAGCAGTGGGAAACTCAATACCCTCACAGTCTTCAAGCAGCAGACTAAAATATAACAGTCGCATGACAACATATTAACATTTTGATTATGGTTCTTACAAATGAAGGATTTCTAAGATGTTAACTCCTTACTTTTAACTGATCAACAATTGAATTGTATCTTATATAACAATGAGACATGGTATTCTGAGTGATTAACAGACATTATCTTTTAGTTTGATCTTGGTCAGAAACATAGCTCTCTCCTGAAGCAAAGGGTAAAGCCCCCTGCCTCAGGGCAACTTAGCTGGGAGTACGTGTCCAGCATCTATTTCCTCTATGACAGGACGGGGCCCCAACACTTTACCATATCTGATGTTCAGTTCAGATGGGGGTAGGTCCATTCCTTCTGGTCAGTAAATCAGGGATGGGCAACTTGTGGTCCTCTAGGTGTTTTGCAGAATTCCCATGGACCCTTACTATTAGCTTTGGTGGCTAGATCTGATGGGAATTATAGGCCAAAACAACTGCAGGGCCACAGGATGCCCATCCCTGCAATAGAAGAGCTCTGTTAGCCACTCCCTTCTTTCCTGACCAGTGAGCAATTTAAGAGAGTGGTACAAGTTCTCCCTCAATTTGTTGTCCGACCCTCTGCCCCCGGTTGGAAACAAAGCATCCCCACAGAAATGTTCCTCCCAGTTTTGTACAAAGTATAGAGAAGGGGGGGGGGGGAGACAAGAGGCTGAGCTTTCCCATGTTCTCTGCAAAAAGCAAAAGGATCAAGCTCACCTCCTTTTCACATCTAGTATATGTGCAAGGACATGGCTTTCCAGGAGGGAGGAGCAGTGTGGTCTCTTCTCAGGCACCCCCTCCCAGGCAGGATGGCAGTTTCCATGGGCTGCTTTTATTACCTGGTCCCCACTTGAGAAGGACTTAGAGAGGATGGGGGCAAGGACTGCAGCTGGTCTTTTCTGCTTCAGTTGGTGCAAAGGCTTAGACTAGCCTTGAAATTGCAAGCTATTTATTGTCTGGAAACTGAATTTATATGTACAACACAATAGCATTTTTGCTTTGCTTTTGGAAAACATATCATATGGAAGATGTATCATATGATAAAAGCATCACCAAGGGAGTTTAGAGGCTAACTAGGAAAAAGGACACAGCAGAATTTGCTTCTTCCCTCTCCTCCCTTCTTTACTCCAGAGTCCTCTGGAGTCCCACTTGTATGTCTCAGTGCAACTTGACTGAACAAGATGGCTGCCAGCATCTAGGTAAATTGCTAGCCATGTGCAGATACAATGCAGTGGATGTTCATCCACATGCAAGCTGACAATGACTGCACTGCTCACTTTTTGCTCTTATCAAGACATTTGTTGAAATGGGTAGACAGAGTAGGAAAGGGAAGGAAGGCACGGACAAATGAAATGATTTTGGCACTGTTGATTAACTCTTTTCCCAGTAAATGAGATACACAGATAGGCAATGCTCTTTACTCCACAACTTTTTGTTGATGAAAGTGCATAAGCCAAAAAGTTATTCTATTTTCATGAACTCAAATTAGTTTAATCAGCACCTAGACATTAGCACGGCATCTACTCTAGCACTTGTGTTTCTCATTTTGAAGTCAATACTAGCATCAGGCATTTTCAGTTCCAGGCATCCCCATAACATATTCACCACTGTCAGACTTCTAGGATGGTTTTTTGAACAAGCAAAGTATGCAAAGACATGCGGCACACCTGTAGTATCATCATTACCACAAAGAGCAGATTCCTTTTGAGAACCTCCTCTCTCTGTGGACAAAGAGGGACTCTAATCAGAGAGGCCATTGGTCGTACCTGCAATGCTAGGTGCGGATGCAATGCTGCTGAAAGAGCTACTGTAGCCGGAGGCACTAAGTGGCCAGGCACTCGATGAAGGCAGCGTGGCATTCTGAGATGATGTTGGGGATGACCCTGCAGAACCAGCAAAGAAGCAACTAAGAAAGATGGGCAGAATGGTGTCTACTGTAGCATATGCAATTCTAACACCATCATGTGCAAACAGAAACCATGCAAGGTAAGATGCTAACCCAGCCTTGCCTTTCGGTCTAAAAATGAAATGTTATAGGAAGCATGATCTGATGCAGTAGAACTTGGTATAAAAGAAGGATGACACAGTGATAAAGGTAGTAGTGCTCATGCAAAAGATACACACCCTGACTTTCCTTAACTCGGTCACTTCCAAGGAGGTGAGGTTTATTGCCACTGTCTCCAGGCTATGTGAATTGTGGAAGAAAAGTGTATATGGAAAATGGGTGTCACAAAAACGAAAAGCACTGTTCTGTGCAAGGCAAGTCGGACAAAATGGCTCACACAAGCCCCATTTGTCTTGAAGATTTCTTAAAATTGTCACCAGTCAGTCTTACCCCTTCCATGCTCATACAACATTGTCACAATAATGGTGGTGCCTGAAGCTGAACCACAGGTCATGGCCAGGGATGCGGCACTGTGCATGGAGGAAAGCATTCCATTGCACCTGCACTGGAACATGAGGGTCAGCGCTTATGTTCTGCTGCCCTTGCGCAGTTGCCATGAAATTACGCCACTGAAAAGTATCTACCATTAAGATTATGTTACTAGAAGCCAGCTGAAATCACAAATTCTGTTGCAATGCTTGTTTAGATAAAGGTACACGAATTAGCCTCAACATTATTTATTAAGTCAGAAAGCTTAAACAGGAACATTGCACACATCTTCTGGCTGGCATGTGGCAACATACACTTAGAAAAAGAAAATCCTTTTCAAATAAGCTGAAGTAGCAGGATGTACTTCAACATTTCCTTACAAAGGAAATGGCTTATCCAGTGGATTCTGCAAATATTCACATCTGCTGGAACATTAATGTTCATTGTTCTTGATTTGCGTACCACCACATTAGGTCAAGGATCCTATGCTGAACTGATCCATGGCATTGAAAAAAAAAACCTTGTATATAAAAATGGGATCATTCTGATTAAAGAGCCACTCTGCAGTGACTGTTTTGCTTAAAGAAGTCTCACTATTAAGTGCAACCTTAATGTGCAGCATTTTCATTGAAAATTGGGGCAATGATCCACATGCTCTGCTGGTGTAGCACCCACATGCAAAAGGTTCCTGTGCAGCTCAACAGAACCCCTGCTTTCTCTCCCCACTGTCCAGACACTGAATGATGCATGATGGGGCATCAGAGGGAATGGGACGTCTGTGTAGGTCTCCAGTATTCCCATCTAGCTCTCCCTCTGTGCTTAGGAATTTATTTAAGGCAGGAATATAAGAAACATGCATTGAGCAGAGAGGGGGACTGGCTGGGAATACACAGAGAATACAGGTGTTCCATTCCCCCAAAGGTCTTGCCATGCTGCCCATCTGTGTGTGGCCGGGGGTGGGGGTGGGGAGCAGGTCTCTGCTGAGTCTACCTAAATCATCTGCAAGTGAGTGTTGTACACATCATTTATATGGATAATACCCAATGCGTATAAAATCTGAAAATCAAAAATGGAACACTCAACCTGTCTACAATTATTATCTCAATAAAGGTAGATATTTATAATTAGAACTTCTAGTATCCAGGAATGTAAATACACAAATACATACATGCATACCATGAATTTAAAAAGTTCAATCTGAGTATGCATTATATTTTAGGATCCATTATATTAAATAAGCACATCATTTTACTTAAGCAAACAAGTTGAAACCAACTGTAACACAAACTCTTATGACATAAGGACATACTGTTGCTGTTTCAGAAGTTCAGTGCTAAACAATTACAAGAAGCAGTATCTACAGAGAGATACTGTTCCATGTTGCATGGCACTTTGCATATCCCTCACTCATGCAGTTTTTTGGATACTCTAAAACTGCCAAGTGTATGTTGTTTTGTTCAATAGATTCTGAGCTTTCAGGAAATTAGCAACCTTACCACATATTTAGATCCATGGAAAATTGTGGGAATTACTTGTTGAAAGCATTAGAAACAGGATGAGTATGAATACTGAAGCAATATATATTAAAAGTCTATGATACAAGACTATATACCCTTTTCTCTCCTCTTGTGGTTTGATTTATTGCTATACTTGCTGATGCCCAACAAATCATCATATGCATCTTTAGTTTGACCAGATAAACCATGGTGTGCTTCCAAACTACAACTGAAAAGCAAGACCAAACCCATGGTTTCTTGTTTGGATTGTAGGCAAAATATGGTTTGTTGACAATCAAGGAGCATAGAAAGGAATAAGAAGAAAGAATGGGTTGGAAGCATGCAGTAATAATAATATAATGCAAACCAGGATTTGGCATTACACTTTAAACCAAGCTAACACTGCAGCACCAGTGAATATTGTAAATATATGTATATGTGAATGGTTAAAAGCAGTGGGCTGGTTCAAATGCAATATTAATCTGAAGGTTGGGAACCTGTTGCTCTCCAGATGTTGTTAGACTCAAACTCCCATCAGTCTCAGCCAACATGGCCGATAATAAAGGAAGTTGGCATTCAACAACATCTGAAGGACCACAAGCTCTCCATCTCTCTGCAAAGCACAGTTTATTGCTGTAAGAACACCCTTCAGTCTTACATACTCTATATTACAGGGTGGTCATGAGGAGTTTGGAAATTTTTACATTCATTTCTGATTAGCTATAATTTGTTACTTTATTCAAAATAACAAATGGTGGTTAATCTTAACTATAGCTCATGGAATCAAGCTAATTTCAAGCCAGTGTAGGAATCTGTCTCATTTTCACCAACCATAGTCAAGGCTACCCGAAGTTTTGAGTTCAGAAAATGCACTAAACTGTAGAAGTTGAATCTCCCAATCCCTTCCACATGTCTGCACCAGAAGAAAGAAGAAGAGGGAGTACATTTGCCTTGTGCACAGGCTAGACTCAATTCTTGTATTGCTAAGCTTTGGTAAAATGTTAAGTTCAAAACCAGTTGGCCTATGTTGGTATGAACATTGCAGATATACCTGCCTTTCTCCTCATATAGGATGAGCAAATTTGAACTATAAAATGTGTAAATCTAAGAAAGCTAACCTGCTTCTGCTGTAGGTAAAATGAAACTGTTACTGATTATGATAAAAAAACATGACAGAACACTCCATTATGTACACAGGGCACACCTCCTCAGTAAAGAAACAAATGCTTATGGAAATTTATCTGCAACCTGTGGTACAGGAGCTATGTTGTAGTAGAAAAAGGCAGAATCATTAATGAGAAGGCATCTCTGACAAGACATTCATAGCTGTGTTTATGCCATCTGCTGAAACAAGTTAATACTGAATTTATATTGTATCCCTTTACCCAGAGTAGAGAAAGCCCGAGCATGTAGGCACCATGTACTAGATATGAATATAACATCCTGGCAGGAATTATAGCAAAGAGAAAGATGCACTGATAAATGATCATCAGGAAGCCTTAGCTACGTGCAAAGCCAAACCAATGATTATAACCATACTAACATGGAAACTGTATTCAAAATCAAGAGACAAAATTGATGTTTTGTTCAAATATGTCCTTTAGAAAGCATTCTATAATTCCAGCTGTTCATATTTCCATGGTTCTAAATGTACAATCTAATAGTGAACTTGAATTCTTGCAAATATTAGGAATGAGTACTGTACACTGATGTCTGATATACTTGGTAACACCAAATGTAAACAAAACAAAACTGAAAGGCTTACACAGGAAAACAGAGTGAGACAAGTTCTCAGGATGCCAAAAAAATATTTTATCTCAAAACCAAATTAGTTGCAGTCTACCAGGGCCTTCTTCAGGGGACAAGGTTAAACAAAGAAAAAAAAACTCTGGAGAAATCTCTGGTAAGTGCATGTTCCCAAATTTTGAGCCCATCTTTCAGATGCTTAATCTCTCCTTTTTGAGTGTTACCCCATAATATGCAAGAGGAGAAAAGCATGTAACCATGACTGGCCCAGGCTCCCTATGGTATGTTTTGGTTTACTGATTTAAAATGATTTTAAGCCAACATTAAAATTATACAAGGACTCAAAAATGCAACAAATTTCCTCCTCATAGGTTATAGGGTATATTCAATGTGCTCATGGGCCATCCGCTTATCCTGTAATGTGATAAATAATGGATAAAACCTTGCTATATAAACATGAAACTGGTTGCATTGGTCAGGGTGTGGGACTGGAGAATGAAAACCAGTCTGGCTGTATCTTGATTTTTTCACTGAATTGGTTTTACTGTCAAAAAATATATTGCCTCTCTATTACCTGTTCTTCTCATTTCTACCCATTAGTATGTGACCATTCATTTTGCAAAGCAACTTTACTCAGGATTTAAAATCATAGTGCTACCTAATTTGCCTAAGTATCTATCATTTGCACATTATGAATGTTTTGATTAAAGGAAACCCTCAAATGGGGTTTCATTCTCCAAAATGAAGGATGGAATCAGAAGGGGAATGCTCAAAAAGAGAATCAGACAAATTGGTATTAGTTCAAATTCAGATATCAGAAATACTGATGAGATAGGAAAAATATATATATTATGTTGATTTGTCTAATGAATTCTTCATTTGGTTATATGTTTCTTTTGTAAAGTATGGAAACACTTTTTCCTACAGGATTACTAGCATCTACTCTGAAAGTATGTGTTAGAATAGTACTGCAAAATTTCCATCTTGTTTTGGAGGACAGTGCCAACCAAACTTCGCCTGATTTGGACATCAATCCAAACAGAGAGCTATTTTTGTATTTTTACAAATTCAAGAGATCTATAGTACATTGACAACTATGCAACAGCATTTATTCACCCCTTTTCTTTTGTTACAAGCCTCTCTGTATACATGCCCACTTCTACTTTTCCACCTCAATGTATATCATCCCTGCAATGCATATTATCCAACTTTTTTGCCTTTTTGAATTCCATGGGTTTTCCTGCTCTTCCACCTTTAATTATTGCACCCTGCTCTTTCTTCCTGCAGTTTATGTCTTCATTTTATAGCTTGCCTTTCTCCCACAAATGGTTCTCAAGGTCAACAACAATAAAATACAAGGCAAACACTAAAATATATATTAAAATTTCAAAGCAAGTAAGTTAAAAATAGAAAAAAAGCTAAGAAATAAACAGCACCCCCACTTAAACTTATTTTAGCAGGCTGACAAATCAGCCTGCTGGCAAAAAGACATTAAATATGATGTTAGCCTGGCTTCAGTTGTCAGGGAATTCTAGATACTATGAGCTGTCACCGAGAAAAATCTCTTTTGATTTCCTTCCAAATATACTTCCATGATAGCGGGATAGGTAGACTGGCCTCTCCCAAGGATCTTAAAATCTAGGCAGGCTCATATGGGAAAAAATGTTATTCCTGACAATGATCTGCCAGTCTGTGCCTAGCCATGGCTTGTTTCTCCCTTAGTCCTCCTGCCTGTTCCAGACACGAATCCCACAGGCCTATGTAACACAACCTCAGCAGCCTATTCTGCTACAAAACAGCAGAGTTTATTTTATAGATTTTTACACCTTCAGAGAGAGGGGGGCTTTGTGCTTGGTTAACAAGTCACCATGAACAAATCAGATGGGGTTCAGAAATCTAAAACACGGTTGGCAACATGAGTTGCCATGCCATGCAAACTCAGTCAAAATTTTATTTATGCGTTTCCCTAACCCTCCTTTTCAGAGTCTCAATTAGTTTTCCCCTCCTTCCAGAGCAGCTATTAAACTTTCTAAAAAGAAATGGAGGATCTGATCAGGTATCTCCTAACAACATGTCTAGCTGCACCTTCGAATACTGGTGAATCATGTAGTGTGGCTCCTGAACAAGGACAAACAGCTGACATCAGCTTTATCATGCACCTCAGAATTCAGGGAGAGAAGGGGCAATGCCAAAACAATGCGTTGCATCCTTCCATCACCTCTCCCATGTTTGATGGGCTTTCACAGGCTTTAGATCAGATGCTGGCTGGGGAGTGGTGAATACAATGATGACCGGGACTGCAGGAGCAGGGAGAGCTAGCTTTGCCTCATGCCAGTGATCATCATCAAAACAGGAAACAGTTATTTTGACACATGATCTTTTGCAAGAAACTATCATTCTGAAGAGAAGCAACTATTTTCATCAGGATCACAAAGGGGCAGGAGTGAAGAAATGTTAGTGTCTTTTCCCACCCTCAGTGAGCCTTACTGAATTACCCTTTCACCACTGCTATTAGTTGAGGGGTGGTTGAAAGCCTCTGTCATCAGGTGATCCTGATGAAGATTGGTGCTTGTGTGCACGCACAAGGGGGAGGATCTGTGAACACAATCAGAACAAGTAATGTTGTGCAACCACAATTTGCATAACAATTGCCTGGCTGTGGCTTATTGTGGCCTCTGAATCTGAGTAGCATGGCTTGGTGAAGGATTAAACAACTTTCAAATAATTCATGCTTAGGCCATGGTTTGTTTTGATGATGCAACTCAGGAGAGTATGTATACGACAGGAAGTGTGCTTGAGAGAAAAAAATGCTTGAGAGCATTTGTTTTTAGAGGGAGGGAGGGAGAATTATAGAGGTGCCGCTCTCAAGTACAGTCATCACCACATGGTGCTCTTGGGGCAAAAACGATTGTCCACTTCTGCTTGGAAAAAGGCTGCTGACAATAAATACAATGGATATTTAGAATTTCCCCAACTATTACGGAACTTATACTGTGAAGGTCTGCACTGGAGAAGGCAAATAATGGTATCACAAAACATACATGAAACAAAAGATAGATGTTTGCATATACATGCATATGTCCGTCATTGAAGAATCCTCTCTTGCCTTCTAACCCCTATAATATATAATGTACATAGATATATGCATATACTTCCAGTGTGAACCACCTAGGCATTACTTTAGGTCAGAGGTCCTCACATTTTTTCAACAGGGGGCCAGTTGAAAGGTGCCAGCAGTGGGTGCGGGCTGCCAAGGCGGTGCTGGTGGGGAGTGCGGGCCAGTGAGGGAGCTGGGGGGAGTGTGTGCGCGGCGAGGTGAGGAGGGGGTGGGGGCGCGCGCGGGGCAAGGCAGCAGCCTGCTCGCGCAGAGATCATTTTCTCCAAGTGAGTCCAAAAAAATCTTTGCGTGAGCAAGCCGCCGCCTTACTGGGTGCACGTGCGCATGCGGCGAGTCCAAAACCTCTATGGTGGGCCGGATCTGCCCTGTGGGCCCTAGTCTGAGGACCCATGCTTTAGGTGTTATAGAAATATTACAAATAAAGATATGAACTATTTTCATTTAAATTTTGTATTTCTGTAAAGTGCAAAGTCCCCATTTAATGAGTCAAACAAATAATGAAACTTTCAGCTTGAATGAAGAATACTTTCTCATAGTATTCCAGGTGACAATTGCAAATAACTTGCTTTAAAAATGCATTTTAAAAGCTTCCACAAAATTTCTAAAGGCAAATCTTCACATTCCCCCTTGTACATAGAGAAGATAACAACTCAATGGTGGGTTCACACAAGTGACAGTGACTTTTTAGCTTTTATGGCCATGTCATCTGAACCCCATTGTGCTATTTCAGTATGGAATGTTTGAGAAACCATGCACAGAAACAATGGTCTCGTCAATGGTTTCTTAGTACCAGCACTGCCTGTTTTAAGAAAATTTGTCATGGTACTGGGGGCAGAACCAGCAGTTTGGTGAGAGTGGCCCACTGCTGTTCCCAAGTGGCTAACCAGAAAGTTAGCCCCACTCCTCTTGCCCTAAAGAACTTCTTTGGGACAGGAGCAGGCTGTAGAGAGGGGACCTGTCTCGCACATATTACAGTCTGCTCAGACAGATTTGTCCAATTCTGAGAAGGAGATGTAGGAAAGAGGGGGGACAGAGGCCTTTGTAGTTACAAGGTTACTTAGTAGTTTTCAGGCAAAGTATGAGAACCAGTCAGCTTTGGAAAGCTGGGGGGAGGGAGGTTTCAGAGCTGAAGTTGGAGAGGATACAGGGGGAGTTCCTTGACCTGGTCAGGAGATGACAGGTCAATCAAGCAGCCCAATTCTGAAGTGTCTGGCATCTCTGCCATCCAGCCTACAAGGAGGAGGAGCCACCCTGAGGGTGCAATCACAAGCTTTACTGAAAGGGAGTGCAGGAGGGGAAGTTTCAGTTTGGATTCATCTCTTTACATGTGTAGATGCTTCTTCCACATCTCAAGGAGAATACTACTCTGATTTATACCATTCTGTAACCAGTTCGGTTTAAATAAAAGAACGGTGCCTCTAAGGTTTTGAGGTTGCTGGATGTGTTCACAATACAGGCAATCAAAAGACTGGCAGAAGAGCAGTACTGCACAGATGATTTTCCTGCTGCCGGGAGTGGTGAGAATCTGCTAGGTGGTGGTGCCTGGTTGGAGGCAGTACACTGCTGTGGATTCCGCCATGCTGCCCCTCTTGCTTAAGCAAAGCATGAAAAGCAGCTAGGCGGTGGTGCCACAGGAGTTGGGTGCTCTGTGCCACAGTGTACTGCCATCCTGGGTCACCCCCCCTCACCCCACTTCTTGCTCTGATATCCCCAGCCCTTGCACAGCTGGGTGGCAGTGAGAAAAGTGAGATGGCACTGCCAATCTAGAATTAGCAAGCCTAACAAATAAGTATATTTCAGATATTATTGTTGCTGGTAGTCTTACAACAGGCAGTATCCCTTCAACCACATTTAGCTGATTCTCATTATCTGGTATAACAGACACCAATTTATAAATGTAGTATGGTCTAATACAGGGGTATGCAACCTGGTGCTCTTCAGATATTTTGGAAGGCCCTGCTAGCATGATATTGCCAAGGATTATGGGAGCTGTAGTCTCAAACATCTGGAGGTCACCCAGCTACCTGCCCCTGTCTAATAACTTGGTCTTCAAAGAAGCTCACAGAAAGAGATGAGAAAGAATATTTAAGTGCCCAGGATCTATAACCAAAGATTTGTATATTGTCTGCTTCTCTGTTAAGTGATGGGATAACCCTTTTCCTCATAATTAAGGACACCCACAATGAAATTTAAGATCTTCAGTGTCTTCTTAGCAACACCATTGCTTTTATCTGATATTTTAGCTTCAAGCTGTTAACACAGGGAGAGAAAATGAGAAGAGAGTCTTTTCTGAAGTCCAAGGATTACAGATCAACCTTGAGTGAACATGAAACTTACTCTTTTAAAACTCTTTAGAAGCTGAAAATTTCAAAGAAGAATGTGGAAGCCTATGAATTAAGTTCTTCCTCTTCAAAGTGACAATTTAGGTACACAAGAGTAAGAACCAAACAAGGTCATATGCACCTTCTTCAGACAACAATGATGACTACTACTTCTTTTTAAAGGGCTCTGAATTCAAGCAATGCAGGGAAGCTCTTAATCTTTTCCCTATCTGGATTTAGTTTTTCCCACAAGTCAGAAAGAAGCTTGGGGATTTCTGCATGGAAAACCAGGCAGACAAGGAAAGCTGAAATCCTCACTTTCACTGCCATCCCTCTGATCAAAGTCGCAGCCAGCCAAGGCTGGCTCTGGTTTAAAAAACAAAAGGTTGAGGAAATGATGCACACAAATGCATGCCATGTCAGCCACTGGCTTTCATATAGCTTTAAAAAAAAAAGAATCCTAGTGTATACTACCAAAAACAGAGAAGCTGAAGAGAAAGGAAGGGAAACAATGAATGCAACAATACATGTAACGGTTCCTCTACCTCCACTCTTGAGCAGATAGCGATTAACATCCTGTATGGTGGTGTTAATAGTAGGCCCTGTTGGAACACTTCCAGGTGTAACATCAGGATCGTTCTCAGGGTCAATATTCTGCAATCCTTTCCATGGTACTCCAGGATGAAATTCTGTTTGTAAAAACAAGATGGTATCACACTTCTTTCCAGGATTAATATAGGGGAGAAACATACAGTTGCAAGGTGTATGAACACAGAAGCCACTCCACCTGATAAGAGGATGGACATTTTACTAAAGGCATAAGGAGAAATTTGTCTGTGATATGTTCAGTGGATGGACTTTGCTGTTTAGTGCACAGCTAAGTCATTATCATATTTGACATAAGTCTTTATCCCAGTTTACTCTGGGATAAAAGATTTGCCTTCCTGTGGTTAAGATTTCTCAACAATAACATGACACAATGAAATCTAGTCCCATCTGCTTTTATCCATTGAGGTATTACTTCTGACCTGAGCTAGATTAATCTGTTAAGAGTATTTGGGTGCTGACGATACTGCCTCAGGACAATGGCTTGGACTACACGTCCTTCAGATACCTCTCAGCTCTATGATTCTAGCAGACTTCTGTCTTCATTACCTGGTGGCCAGTTGATGCTGGAGCCATTGGAGATTTTATCACTATCCGATTTGGCACGTGACCAGCTGTGAGGAACGGCTACAGGAGGACTGGCTGGTGACTCACTGTTTTGAATCAGATCATACCGGCCATAAGAGTCATCAATGGAGGACTTGCCTGGAGGACCAATACTCAGGCCTCCAGGGATAGCACCTGGTAGAATGAAAGGCATAGGGAGTGGGGAAGAAAAGACGAGTTTATGATGGGCAAGGTTACTTTCTGGCTGCTCTTCTTAGTGCTTGGCATGATCATTTTTATTTTTTCACTAAACATTTCAGCAAAATTAAATAAAGTAATATATCATTTATACTAATCCACTGTAACTTTGGACAGCTGAATTAAAGATGGAAGATTTGGGGCAGGAAGGGAACTAACAATTCAGAAGATTTCTGCCAAAGATTCATGAGATTAAATTTACAATCCCATGCAAACTTTCCAGACAGCAAACTGCTTGAACACAGTGGTGCTTACTTCCAACCAAACCTGTATAGGCTTGATTTTGTACTGATAAAAGTGCCACATAATAGAAACAATACAGTTGTAATGAAGACTGGAATAGGACCCACAATGTATTTTAACTAAATAACAAAAGGGATTTTGCTAAAAATGCAATCATTAGATTAAAATACTTAAAGCAATGTATGAGTATATACACAAAGCTGAAACATTTTTAAAGGAGTGCAACATTAGCTGTGACTTGAGGGAACATTTTGGAACTGGAGCAAGAAATAAATCAATTTCAGTACTTACATTGAAATATAAAATGACTCTGTGGGCAGTACTTAATTTTCAGTTTAGCTTTGTATACAGTAAAAGTAGCCTGCACATGATGCACATTAATGTGATGGCTGGCAAACTTAACTGGCAGATATTCTATGCCTTTTCTGGGATGTATCTATTTGGGGGCTGCTCATTTAAGTAGAAGCAAGCAAGCAAGCTTTATAACACCCCAAAACATTAATAAAATTATGAACAACAAATTATTTGTTATTCATAGAATCATAGAAAAGTAGAGTTGGAAGGGGCCAGAAGGCCATCTAGGTACCTGTATAGTGCTTGCATATTATTTGTATATCATATTTATATATTATTATTTCTTACATTTCTATCCCATGTCTTTTCTTCTCTATTTTTGTTCTTACAACTACCCTATTACATATGTTAGGCTGAGAGTCAGTGACTGGTGTGAAGTCACCCAAGTGAGTTTCATGGGGACTAGAACTTGGATTTCTTAAGTTCCAGTCTAACCGTGACACCACACTAACTCCCAATATAAATGTTTTACACATGTAATTACATTTTATAACAGTATAATCCCAGGCATGTCTGCTCAGAAATCCCACTGAGTTTAATGGGGTTTACTCCCAGGTAACTGGCTTTACAGGACTGCAGTCTAAATAATTGATTTGCCTTTATTTGAAATCACTGTTGTTTCTGATAAACAACCACAAAATAAATCCCTAATAGTTTACATCTTTAAATTATAACTTATTAAATAATTAAAAATTATTTACAGGAGTACTGTATACATTTAACAACTCTTTTTTAACACACACTCTAGTTTAATAATCTATATTCTGAAAAGAATATATTCTACCCTGCAATTTCCCCTAAATTGTGTGGGGAAAAGAGTATCTGCAAAATATCTCTTGCCATGTGGACCCATGCACTTATGAATGATACCCATACCGTGCTTGCTTGGATTCTGGTCAAGTGGAGAAGCCGCACTGGAGAGATTATCCATTGAATTGGGGTGTGTCCATTGAGGAAGGCGAGATTGGGACTGAGAAGAGTCCTTCACTGACAAACCACCAGGAATGTCCATGCTGTTTACATTCATGTTTGGGTTCAGTCCAGCTAAGAAGAAATAGACAGGCTGTTTAGACATTCTTAAGTCCTGATTCTTATTATTTAGTAATGCTTTAGCTTTTGGGTTGCAAGCAACTCTCACTTCCATATTGCAAGCAAAATTTGTTGCAGGGGGAGAATAAAAGAAAAACAGTATAGCAGTAGACTGGGAAGAGAAGTCTAATCTGACAACAATCTGAACTGGCATCTACCAGTGTATCTTCTCCAACTTAATTCCATGTTCTATGCAGAAGTTATTTTCTTTGTCAGTCCTGAACCTGTTTCTAGTCAGTTTTAAAGAAGGGAAGGACACAATCAGTGAACAGGTACAGAAGCACAGTGCTCTTCAGACACATGCAGCTCTACCTCTTCAGAATGAAGCCCTTGCTCATGCCATCATGTCTGACTGACAGCAAAGGAATATAATTTAGTTGGGGTGCTTTCCAGGGACCCCAGAAGTGTAGGACCTTGGCAGCTTCCAGGGCTGTAATGGATGGGGCCTTCAGCTCTATGCAGCAAATCAGTGTCTCCACTGGAAACTAGTCTGGAGTGTCTTCCAAGAAGAAAGGGTGACTTTACTGGACCTCCTCTTGACATGGACAAGTTCACTTTCCAATGACTATTCTCCTGCCACTGATTGTTACTTATAGTGAACAGAAAGGTCCTGACTTTTCTCTGGTTGGTGTGTAAATCATAAACAGAATCCAGAAACACAGTAATCTTTGCACTTGCAATTATGTTACTTTGTTTAAAAAGCCTTAACATTCCCTCCTCCTTCCAGAACCAGTTAAGGTGCTCCCTTACGTCAGACAACAGCCTTTCTGTTGCACTTTGCATCAAATAAAATTTCTAGACTATTCTATTTTATTTCTAACATGTATATACCACTCCACATCTAGACAGATTCTGAACTGGTAAACAATAAAGGATGAAGCAAAAACAACAAAAGAATATTCTAAAACAGAATCCATAAAAATGGCTATTCAGTCAAAGAAGGCTTCTTAAAATAAATATGTTTTCAGTGCTTTCTGAAGACAGTGCAATGTTGGCACTCGCCTGGCCTTCAGAGACAGGGAGTTCCACATAAATTGCGCCACTACAATGAAGGCTCTCTTCCAAGCAGGCTCCAACTGAGCCATAGCTCCCCGTGGAACCAGCAGAAGCAGTCCAACTGAAGTTGTCAGTAACCGAGCAAGCTGGTAACAGAGAAGACACTCTCCCAAGCATCCTGGTCCCAAGTTATTGAGGGCTTTATACACCAGTACCAAAATTTTAAACCTAGCCTAGCATTGAATGGGTAACCAGTAAAGTTGTCTCAACAGATGAATTCCATGCTGAAAAGCATCCTAACAATAGCCCAGCTGCTGCATTTTGCACTAGTTCCAGCTTCCAGACCAGCCTTATGGATAGCTCCACACAAAGTGTATTACCATAATCTAGTACTAAGGTTACTAGTGCCAGTGCCACTATGGCCAAACTATACCTGTCCATGGGAGACCATGGCTGGTAAACAGTTGAGCTAGTAAAAGGCACTCTTAGTTGCCACTAGGACTTGGGACTCCAGTGGCAATGATGGATCTAGGCATCCCCACTTACTACAAACTTAGTACGTCCCACCACTTGCCTATTGGACCCTTGCCCATCTTGGTTAATAAATAATTCCAAGCACAGGATTGGGATCTGGATCTTGGAAGTGGTTAACGCTTCTCTGAGGGAGGGTCGGGTGCCTGCCCCTTTAAAGGAGGCGGTAGTCCAACCGGTCCTGAAGAAAGCATCACTGGATCCAGAGATGGCCACTAATTATTGACCAGTGGCCAACATCCCGTTTCTGGGCAAGGTGTTAGAGCAGGTGGTGGCGGGACAACTCCAAGCTCTCTTGGATGAAACTGATTATCTGGACCCATTTCAGTCCGGCTTCAGACCTGGGTACGGTAGTGAATCTGCCTTGGTCGCCCTGTACGATGACCTGTGCAGGGAGAAGGACAGGGGAAGTGCGTCCCTGTTGGTTCTTCTGGACCTCTCAGCAGCTTTCGATACCATTGACCATGGTATCCTTCTGGATAGGCTAGCGGGATTGGGGGTCGGAGGCACTGCTTTGCAGTGGTTCCGCTCCTATCTCAACGGCCGATTCCAGAAGGTGGTGCTGGGGGACTATGGCTCTGCGCCATGGCAGCTATGCCATGGAGTACTGCAGGGGTCCATTTTGTCCCCTTTGCTGTTTAACATCTACATGAAACCACTGGGAGAGATCATCAGGAGGTGTGGGCTGCGGACTCATCAGTACGCTGATGATACCCAGCTCTACCTCTCGTTTTCCACCAATCCAGGTGAGGCAGTGGCTGTACTGAACCGGTGCCTGGCCGAGGTAATGGGCTGGATGAGGGCCAATAAACTGAAGCTCAATCCAAACAAGATGGAGGTCCTGTTGGTTGGCGGATTGGGCTTCAGAGAAGGCAGATTGAACTTAGTCCTGAATGGGGTTGCACTCCCTCTTAGGGACAAGGTCCGCAGCTTGGGAGTGCTCCTCGACCCAGAGCTTTCATTGGAAGCTCAGGTGACAGCAGTGGCGAGGAGCGCTTTCCTTCAGCTTCGGCTGATCCATCAGCTGCGCCCCTACCTGGAGTACGACTGCCTGGCGACAGTGACACACGTGCTGGTGACTTCCCGCCTTGACTTCTGCAACGCGCTCTATGTGGGGATACCCTTGAAGATGGTCCGAATACTTCAATTGGTTCAAAACAGAGCTGCCAGGCTGCTGATGGGGACTGGGCGTTATGTTCACATGACTCCAGTCCTCTGTCAGCTTCACTGGCTTCCCATTGAAGCCTGGGCCCAATTCAAGGTGTTGGTGATGACCTATAAAGCCCTCAACGGCTTGGGTCCTGGTTACCTGAAGGAGCACTTACATCCATATACGCCCGCACGCCCCTTGAGATCTGCGGGAGAGGCCCTTCTCCGGGAACCCTCTGTGAAAGAAATTAGGAGGGTAGGTACTCAGAGGAGGGCTTTCTCTGCGGTGGCGCCCAATCTATGGAATGCGCTCCCCAGAGAGGTCCACCTGGCGCCGTCGTTATTTGTTTTTCGGTGCCAGGCGAAGACCTTTTTATTTAAATGTCATTTTAATTGTTAATATTATTTGCTTATTTTATCTGGTCAGGGTGACTTATTTTATATTGTTAATTTGTTTTATATTTTAATGTATTATATTTTAATTTATGTTGTGAGCTGCCCCGAATGGGGTGGCATAGAAATGTTTTAAATAAATAAATTAAATAAATAAACTTGATCCTACACAGGGAATGCAATCCCATCCAGATTGGGGAAGAAACCAAACTCCTGAATTCAAGAGCCACTCACTCACAGGATTCCTATCTTGCAAGAATTCAGCTTTAGTTTATTAGCCCTCATCCAGCCCATCCCTGCGTCTAGGCACTGACTCAAGAGTTGCATAGTCGTACTTGATTCAGATATTACAGGGAGATAGAGCCAAGGGTCATCTGCTTTCTAATGGTTTCAAATCCCCTAATGACCACTCCTAGCAACTTAATATAGGTGTAAAAATTGGGGAGAAGATTGTAACCTTAGCTAAGTTGCCAAGGGGATAAGCAACAGTCACCCAATATTATCCTAACCCTCCCAGGGAGCCTTCCTGGCTAATGGAAAGAGATATAAATCCAATAAAAATATATCAAAAGCCAAAGGCAGATAGAGCAGAAAGAGTTGCACTTCCCAATGTTTTCCTTAATAAAGGACATCCATTAGTGCAAATAAGTCTGATTCAGTCCCATAACCAGGTCAAAACCTAAACTGGAGTTGTCTATACATTCAGTATCCCCCAAGAGTGCCTGCAGTTGCTTGGCCACAAACATCTCGTGCATCCACCTTAAGGGAAGGGAGGGGAAATTCTGACTGGGTGGTAGCTGTCAAGTCCTATTGGGTGCAGTTTGGCTTTCTTCACACATGTGTCCCCCACTCTTTTTCAAGAACAGCTTTATATAAAGCAACTCAAATGAGAGATGGTTAAAGCATGGATCATTATGGCTACTTAACCACAGCTAGATGCAGCTAAACTCAAGAGCACCTTTAACCTGTAAACCTGTTGCTTCAAAGAGAGACAATCTCATCCCAGTTCCACATTGGCTTTTCTACTGACCAACAAGGTTTTTAGCTTGTCTGCACTGAGTCACACCTTGTTTACATCCAGCCTATCGCTTGGATCCAAGTAATGATTCCGAATTTCCACAGTCTACAAGTATTTTGCATCAGTTGGAAAAAGGAAAGAATGGAGTGTCATCTGTACAATGATGAAACCTGACCCCAAAATTCCAGATCAAAACCCCCAATGCATTTATAGAGGTATTAAAAAGCATGGGAGACAAAACAGCACCCTCAGGAGCTCCATATGCAAGTATATAAACAATTGTCTCCAGCCCACTTTCTGAGAGTGTTCAGTTAAACTGGGATGGGGGTCAGTGCAAAAGGTCTGTATTAGCCAGATACCCCAGAAGGACCCAGAGATCAACATTATTCAGCAATCAACAGAGCCACATTCAACCTGCACATTTCTCAGCACAGGTCATCCACCAAGATGATCAGAGCTCTTTTTATCCTAAAACCAAGCCTGACACCAAACTGGAAAGGATCCAAATAAAGAAAACTAGCAAGTAAGAGTGCAGGTCTTCTTGGAGGCAGATGTACGTACTGAAATTTTTAAAATCACATTTATCTAGAATGTCAACAAATTTTATTTTTTTAAGTTGTAGAATTGCCCCCTCTGGTTGCTATGTATGAGAAATGGTTTGGAAGTCAGCTGCCTACAATTATAAAGAAGGATATAAATACTAAGCAAAACTATAATAGCAACAAAAAGAGACAAGCGAAATCACTATGAGTATAAATTAACTACATCTTTTTTTTAGAAGGCCCTTAAATAAACTGCACATACCAAGGGGGTAAGGAGCAAAGGTGTTCGGTGAAGACTGTTGCTCTTTGGTCTGCAGGTCAGATAGGCCAGGAGCCTGGGGATGGGGTGAGAAGTTATCCATGGCTGATTTGCCTGCAGAGGGGTGCAAAGATAGATGTGGAGGGGGTGGCTGCTGCTTCATAAGCAGGGCCTGGGCCAGCTGGCGCTGGTGCTGCTGGATCTGCTGCTGCATGTTATTGATTGTACGTGCAACCTGGCAAGAAGAAACAACAAAAGTAAGTTAAATACTGGATGGAACAAAGGCTCATGGTTTTTTTTTTCATCCTGAACATTGAACAGCAAACAATGAACTCAACAGACTAACATGAATCTCACACATGGTAAATATGTGAAGCTGAGGCCTGTCTTGCCTGTTGGGGATATATACCAGCATAAAAACATGCAGCGCAGTAATTTTATTTCAGTAAAGAATAATTTCTTTCATTTGACATTTTGAACTGAGTAGACAGATTAAACCTACTTGCTGCTCCTGTTGTCTGATGGGTCCGGAAACATTGCGCTGGGCCTGTAACATCTGCTGCTGGATTTGTAAACGTTGGTACGCCTACAATTTAGAAATAAGACAAGTCACAGAATGAAAAAGCCCAGCACTTTCACATGAATCAAATTAAATAGAATATGAAAGTTTGTTAAAAAAAATCAAATGTATATCCTGTCATTCCACCAAATTAAGTTCCAAAGAACTTGTGGAGTAGATCCAGATGCAGAACTCTGTTCAAACATGGGTTGGAAATAGTAGTTACCCAATTCAATTTGGAATAAGCTATTAAAATGGCATTGGAAGAATATGAGAAAAAGGCACCATCATGACTGTTCAAGGTATACATCCCACAGAGCCTCCCTCATTTGCCCTGCATGCATGCAAATGTGCACACTCTTTAAAAAGAGTCCAGTGGTCGCTTTTTAAAACACGAATTGCCACCAGAAAGAGGGGACCAATCCTGGTCATCCCACCAACTGAAGCCTCTCAGATATCACACCCTGCACAGCAATTAAACTTTTTTTAAAAAAGCCACAATTGCTGCAAGTGGGAGGATTTTTTTTTTAAAGAAAGCCTAGGGGATCCAGCTGGGATGGGACGATACAGAGGGAAGAAAAAAATGGGTCAGGGCAGAGAAAGAGAGTGCAAGCATACACACACACAAAGGGGAAGTGAGCAAATTGAATGGATAGACAGATGGATGAATGGGAAGTGTAAAAAAAGAGAGAACGTGGGGTGGCTCTTGCTGTGCTCACTGCTCGCACACAACTCCTGGAAGATTTTCCACAAGGGAACGTGCTTTTGATCTGAAAAAGGTTCCCTACCACTGGTGTAAACATTGAGATGCAATGGAGACTTAGGAGACTGTGGTAATTAACTACAAACGCCCAATGTAAATATAACATACAACCACAATTCATTATAATCTTGGCTTAAGGATTGCCCCCCAGTATTCTTTTCTGGGTATGATCTCAAGCTAACAGTTTACCTATGCTTTAGACCATCAAGCTAAGACTCAGGGCTTCCCCATTAGGAGATATACTTGTTACCTGTGTGATACTGTCTTACTCAAGATACTGTCTTACTCAGGACTGGCAAATTAAACCATAATTTCATATTAAGATTTGTGTCTACAAATCAAAACATTTATGTATTAGACCTGAGGGCTCACAGAATTATAGACACAATAAGCTTCATCTTTATAACTTGGGAGTTTTCTGCAAACTATTACTAATGATCATATAAGTTCTGTTCTTGTAATGAATTACAGTAAATTCTGCACCAATACCTTAACATCTAGAACAATGGTTTCTAAAAAGGTATAATTTCTGTGTCTTGTTTTACCCATTTGCAAAAAAATTACAACATTCCCAACTAGCAGTAAAATACAGGCTTACTGTGGATGTAACTGATTGAATAAATTAATGGAAATAATGTTCCATTACAGCCAAAGGTGAGAACAATCAAACAGAATTTTGTTTTACCAGTGACTTAAAGAAAAAAACAATCCGAGGAAGCTATTATTGAGGAAAACTTAGCAACAGAAATGTTTCTGAGAAAACACGTTCGGTATTAAAAGACAGTTTTGAAGTTGAACTGTATGTCTCAGAAATTGAAAAATCTGATCAGTATCAGCAAAAATGAAAAGTCTTATTATCCTGAAGCTGACAACTTTAAGATTCAGGTATATAAACTCACTGCCAGAAGCAGGCCTCATCATAATTTCTGAAGTAAAGATGACAACCTTTATGGCTTTAAAGTCAATACTTTCATTTTTGGATTTATAGCTTTCTCACTGTGCCTTTTAACTCACCAGCTGCAGCTGATAGAGCTGGTTCAACATCGTCATATGCTGAGGATTAATTGGCGAGGTTAATAGTGCAGGATTGAGACCAATGTTTTTTGCTGCAAACTGCAAAAGCTGTGCTTGAACCTGTGGAGAGAACATAACAAGTGAGTTTCTGTTATTACAGATGTAATTAATTACAGTACTATACTCCCACAGTCTTTAAGCAAACCAGCTCTGAAGGAAGTGACTTATGGAGGGCCTGTTGAGTTTGTTGTGAAACAGAATAACACGCAAGGAAGTCAAAAGTAACCACCCTATGTCACAGGAAACTAAATATGTAGTTCCCAAAGTGGTCATGTTTTTGAAGTCTGATAGATATAGAAAAATGAATCATAAATATGTTTTCATGCTACATGCAGGAACTTAAAATGTGCATTTTTTTCTGAAATCAAATAGACTGGCATAGCAACTTAAAAGTGGTTTTTGGCCTCCTGTGGTACTTTCCATAGAAATATATTCCACAAGAGTGGTTGCATCAATATTTTATGTTTGTATTGTTCTAGCTGGCACCACCAACCATCTCCTGGCGTAGCCAACTTCTTAAAATGTAGAACCTTGCCCTCTGTTTAATTGTTTGACTCAACATGCTTTAGTTATGGGACAGACACGGTCATCACCAAAGCTGCAGCAAATCAAAACAGCAAGGCCAGGAAGAGAAACCTTTTTTCTGACCAGCTCAGCAACCCAGGTGCCAACTATTACACCCACTTTTTAAAGCTGGCAGTGGCTGCTGGCACATGTGTTTTTGCACATCTAGCTCTCATGAAGGCTATAGAGCTCAATTTAACCTGAGGGGAGAGAAACTGAGGCACTTGAGCACGAAGACTAGGCTGGGATGAGTTAAGAGGTTGCACTGGCGGTTGCTGCGGCTGCTGCATGGTCCTGGCTTGTGCTGCTCCGCTATTGCCAAACATACCCAGATTGCCACTCGGTATCTGTGGGATGAAAGGTGAGAATATTTCAAATGTGTAATTTTATAATTTGCAATGGTTGTAAGGACTAGTCCACAGCTCAAAACTGGTCAACAAAAGTACTCTAGCACAAATTAGCAGCTGTTTCAACAGCTGCTTCAGTGCAGATTTAATGTGAAACTCTGGAAAATTGTAATGGCAGTAGCATCTCTGTATGTGTTATTGTACACATCTATATGACTACAGATCTGTACAAATAAATGAATATATATATACACACACACACCTGTACATAAACATGCAGCCAACCATGTCAACTGTGTGGAGGTGCCCTCTTTAGTAAATTGTCTGTGTGTAGTTATTCTGACCAAGCGAATGTCTCCAGAAGACAGAATGATTCTGTTAAAACTGCTACAACAATGTGGAGAGCTAATGGAGAAACTATGTATGAAATGCCATGCAACCAACTTGCTGCAGGTACAAATGATCACTATTATAGGTGGATGCATGTGAGAAACAGGTTTAAACCTGTCTCCCATCCAAAAAGACAACTAATCTATATATGGGCATTTCCTTTTGAGTTTGTATTTTTCTTCTAGATATTATATGTGCATTGTGATATAGTTTTCATCTGTTTCCCAGACATTCCTTATACCATTTGCCATAATGCTTTTTTTAAAAGAATGGGTAAATTTATGGCTGTATAAGCAGTTTTATTTTAAAGTTAGCTGCCTGCAGTGTATGTGATACCAGGGTGATAGTCACTATTAACCACTAACTGTGGCTAATGATTAAATGTTCTAAAGATTGACCTTCTTCCTAGGTATACAGTTCTAAAACCCTTTTCTTCATCTCAAAGTATGTTGCATATGTGGAATGTTTATAAATAGAAAATATAGATAGGATCATTTTCTTTTCATAACTAGCAAGAGTTTGGAGATTCAAAGGCAGAGGAACTGGCCATACTTTCAACATGTTCTAGTCAAGCCTCCAGTTTCTCCTTCTGCCTTCTTTATTTTGGAAAAAAAACTACTACAAAGACAGTATAATTGAATAAAGATGTGGCAAAGTTTATCAGATGCAATTTCCTGGTTTTCAGCTTCCTTTATTTAATATGATGGAGTGATTCCTCCTCAAGATTATGTTTGCCTTTATTTATTTTTACTTTACTCTTCTTTCTGAGGATAAACAGAGCAGCTAATGAAGTTAGAAACATCAGTAAATACAGTATAAAAATCAGTATCTAAAACAAAGTGAAAAGGCAGCACATGATAACAGAGTCCACCTGATGGATGGAACCAGACAGATCTGGGTGCTGCAAAGACAACACAATGAGGAGAATAGCATCTGCAGGCTGTGAGTTTCCAGGTATCAAAAACTGGTAGTGCTTTGTTTCTAAAAGATAGTTCCCCTCACTGGATTGGTAGTCTCCTTTCTTCCTAACTTGAAATATTTGCAAGCAGAAGCCAAATATTTGGGGGCCTGAAAGAAAGGCAAGAGGCTCCATGCTCCTTTTTTCTTTGTTTCACAACTAAGCCTGGCAGGAGAAATTTCAGTCAGAAAAGGGAAGATGTATGCGGCACGTATCTTTTATCGTGTTATCTGCCTGTTTGGAAAAATGCTGCTTGTTTTTTAACTGTAGTTGGTTTTGTTTTCTTTTTATTATTTTGTATTGTGCAGATTTGGGGTAAGCTATCTTGTGTACTTTTGTAGAGAAGTGGGGTATACATCCATAAGTGACCAACAGCAACTACAAAGAGGATCCTCTGGCATATCCTGAGTGTTTAGGTACATTCATATGAAAAATTATGTTTTCTTTGGGAACTTGGTCTAAAACCAAGTCAAAAGCACCATTTTGAATCGAATCATAAGGAAAATAGGGCCATACCTTTGTATCCCTGCATTCAACCTGTGAGGCAGAGGTAGTAACTCAGCCAACAGGTCAATTGTCTGGAATTATGGAAGTTGTAATCCAAAACATCTAGAAACCACTAGGTTGTCCACCCCTTGGTGGACTGTAGATTTGAGCTCACTGTGAGACTTTGAGTTAAGAATTTGACAGCATCTAGGCTCTTGATTAACCCAGGTATCTAGTGTTAAATAGTTCAGTGCACAGGACTGGCACTACACTGTAAACACTGGTACTAGGGGAATATTCCATTTTTCTAATGTTGGCAACTAGCTTCATCACCTAGGCTTGGCTGCACCACCAAATGTGAAGCTTAGGAAGTTTGATATGAGAACAAGTCTAGTCTCATATGCTTAGCCAAGACAACTTGTGCTGATAGTATAGGTGGTAAGGAGTGCTATAACATCTTCATATAGGGAAAATTTTCAATGGCCATGAGCTGAGAGGGTGAAACAAAAGGATGGGGGAAAGCAAGGAACTACAAGCTGAGTAAAGCACTGAGTAAATTTCTGGATGAGGATGGACACTGAGGAGAGACATTAGCCAGAGATAAAAGGAACCAACAGCAAGGGCTTTCAAGAAATGGTTGGGAAGGAGAAGCTAAAGACCTAGAGCTAAAGGCGGTTAGTCATTTTGGTATATAGTAACAAATGCCCCTTAAAAAAACTAAAAACAAAATGATTTGACTTTATACCCAACTGCTTTTAATTTAAAAAAAGAAAGCAAAAACAAGTTTAAAAAATAATTTCTCTAACTAGTGAGGGCAAGTGTCCTGACACTCACACAGTTGTGATTCAAAAGGTACCTTACCTGTCTAGAAGAATTCAAGTTTTGCATGCCCAGCCCTGAGGCAATCCCACCCAGGGTCTGATTAGGGAGTGCACTGTTTGAAAGGGGGAGCTTCAGGCTTGGTGAAGGCAAAAATGGTGAAGTAGTGGGCTCTTCCACTAGGCCGCCATCCTGATTGAAAAAAGAAAGGGTGAGCTGTGTGCAGTGTCCAGGTACAGACAGTGCACAAAACAATTTCCCATGGAAATATAGTGGAACATGAATGAATAAAAGATCAAAATATTGTTTAAAAAGGCATGAGGAATACATAATGAAAAGTATGGGGTGAAAGGAAGAAGAAAAAGAGAAACAGAATTAAGGTACTGTTTATCTTTGCTTTTTACTTTCCATGTTGCAAATGTATTACTGAACCATCATTCTCAAATATGAAAAACAGGAAGTGCAAGTCTATTTAATTTAAAAGCCCTTCAGAGTGGTTTATAATCATAAAATTCCCAAACAACAGTGAAATTACAAGTACTGTTGAAATGGTTTAAAACAGGAAGGTTATAGGGAGTCCAATCTCTTCTCTTGAATAGAATAGCAAGAGCTCCCCCCCACCCCCCCACAAGGCAAGGCTTTTGCCCAGGTGTAACTTCCATGCCAGCTTTATTTCCTCTCTTTCATCTCAGATTACAAAAGGAAAAGAGCAAAACAACAATCAGTTTTCCTGAAAACCTGTCTTTTCTGCAGTTTTAGAACCCTGCCGTAAGGCAAACGGAGCACAGACTGAGGAGGTAAGTAGAAGTTAGAAACTACAAAAAACTCACTGAGTTTTTGTCAGTGAATCTTTGGCAATATATGTAATTAATTACTCCTGCTTATGTTCTGCTCTAAATTGCAAATTAACTGTTCAGCTACGTGACAAACATGAAACAGTTTTTAAAATATAAACATGGTAATCACTGTGTAAATAAACAGCCAGGACTTCTTTTTGTAACCAGTTACCAATTTGGACACCAGGGAAGATGACACGGAGGCTGCTACAAAGCCTAATATAATTAGGGAACTTAGTGTAAATGACATGTTTTAGTGCTAATGGGGGAGTCTTAAAAGAATTCTACATTTTCAGCTATGGCCTCAAGCATAAGTCACTTATATGCTTATGTCCCACTGATATTAAGAAGCCTCAACATGAACATGTGGACTTAATGCAGATACCTGATTCTCAGGCACAGCATTCTTCAGTTTTGTCATTGCCAGGCTTTTCTAAACAAAAGCCAATTTAGAATTTTACATCCTGACCACTCCCAGTTACAGAGTTCTTCTGAGAATGTGGAGCAAGAACATTCCATGGGTCACTGAATTGTAAGAAAGCATTATATCAATTCCACTGGGAAGATTCAAGGCTCCAAGTAACAAGATTTGCTTTTAGAAACTTCTTCTTGCCTTTGTACAGTTACTGATTCAGACAAACCTTTACCTCTAAACTATCAAACTGGTTTGCATGTATCCCCCAGGCAGATTTGAAACCATTTCAAAGAAGAAACAATGGAGAGTCTTATGGCACCTTATGGCCGCTTCTCTGGAAATAAATTGAAGATGGCTTCCAGGTCTGCTTTCAAAGCAAACACAATCCATAGCTTGCAGGTTTAGATGAAAAGGCAAACTATGGTTTGTCTCCAAATTGAGAAGAAGAGAGGTGATGCTGATGCACAAGAGAAGGGAAGGAGGGTTTTGCACAAGCACAAAGCTCATTCCCACTCCTCCAAACCATGATTTGGAAGCTTGGAAATGACATGTCTACCAACCTAAACTATCAAGTGGAAAACTTGGTAGTGGAAGTCTGGGGTGGAAGGAGCTTGAGAAAAGGGCTCCTCCTCTGTCTACTAATGTTTACCTAGGGGTCTCAGTTTCTGCTGTGAGAACTACTGCTACAGAAAGCAGTATTTCACTCTATTTCACTCTCCATCCCAAAAGGTACATATGGATCCATCTAAAGTCTCTTTGCCTTTATATTATATATACAAGCAAAGAGTAGCATTGGGGCTGCATGTTCACTCATTCCTTTTTCTTTCTCTGGAGATCAGAAACATCCATTTTCAGTTTTAAGCTAAGTAAGATTCCTTGTTACATCCAAACTCTGCAAACTCTGGCTAGTTTTAACTTTAGCTAGTGAACAAGCCAGAAGCATAAACCACAGTTGGATCCTGACTTGCTTAAAATAACTAGAGTTTAAAACAAACCAGACTCCTCAAGTGTGAGTATAATGGGGAATTCTCATTAATGTAAAATAAAGGCAGAACCTTTCGATCATTACACACTAAACTGCATGGTTTAGAACTACAGCAAAACTATGCTAAACCATAAACTGTGGTTTAGCATTATGCCTAAACAGGCCTAGTGTATGTCCTGTGCTGTAATCCATATAGAAGGGTTTAAAGGGCTTCTACTGTGCCTGTCAGCAATAATATTGGTAAAACAAAAAAGCATGGTATATCTGCTTCTTCCACCCCATATCTGCTTCTTCCACCCCTTCTTCCACCCCAGGACAGGCTGCCATAGGGGGCTGTGCAAGGGTTCTTGTGGAGTTAGAGTATTCCCCAGAGCTTAAATATCCCTTTCAACAAGCATATATTCTACAATGTAAAAAACTAAAATTGTGTGGGGAAAAAAATCTCAATTTTCTGTGCACTTTGTACATACTTATAAATGCAAGAATGCATGGTCTTTATTAATTTACTGAACACATTTTATAGCTATCTCACACCATGTTCCTGCCTGTTTACTCAGAAGATCAGCAACATGATCCTAAATGGGATGAGGTTTGGTCTATGCCATTCAAACATTAAAGATCTCTGAATTCCTAAACAAATCCTGCTAATATGCGGTTTTTAATAACCACATGTGGAGAGCAAGAAAAGTTTATTTATCATCAACCGAACTGATACTTAGTTTAGTGCTGAAAAGCCCTGAGGGAGAACACTGACACTTTCTAATCATATCTCCAAGGCATTTCAGCTCAACATGTTTAACATTCTACAAGAATATCTGTCATGCTCCACAAGCTGCAGCTTGCATGACAGTAACAGGTTCAAGAATGGCTTCTCCCCAGGTCATGATCTGGTTGCAGTTCCTTCTGGCCTCTTAAATAGGAATAGCTTCAGTGTCCTATATTTCTTCTACTCTTGCAAGAACTGCTATGTGAACTATGGCTTCTGTTCACATACTATGTATCATGGAAACTTGATAAGAAGCTTTCACACAGGGTTGAAACCTGATCAGGAATGTCAGTATCTTCAGTAAACGTTAACATACTGGCACTCAAGCACTTGTAAAATACAAATTGAATGTACGAAGTTAGTTGAATTGCAAATACCAGCTGACCTGGAGATTGAAGTTTCTGTTTCCAGAAAAGGAGTCTGCCACGGGAAATAAATCTGAATGGTAGTACTTGGCATTTAATAGAGAATGTAGTAGTGATGCACACTTGACCTTTTTGTATAGTTTTTGATAATGTGCAATAAAAGCAGCTATGGTTCACAAGACTGTCCCTAAACTAGAGCAATTCAACTTCAGCAATTCACTTGGGGATTCACAAATTATAGTAGGCCTTTTCCATTTTTACCCCCATTAAAAGGTTCTCCCCAAAGACTAGCAAATTAGTTTGATCTAAAGAAAGCTAGCACAGAGCTAGGAAGAGAAAGAAAAGCAATCAGGGAAACGGGAATGAAAACTTTAAAAGCTAAAAGAAACAAGACTGCAAAGTTCCCAACTGTGAAGCACAATCCAAAGCCTGGAGTGTAGCTTCACCAATTGCTTGAAAGCAGATCTTTCAAGTAAGATATATAGGACATAATTCTACAAGTTGTGCACTTGTTGGATGGAAGTCTCCAATTTTGGAGTTTTCCAAGTATCTCATGTCCTGATGAACTACTGTTAGCAGGACTGGAAGAGCAATGCAGGTGACTTCGTCTCTCAGTCCTGCTTTGTTTTTGAAGGTATACTTTCTTGTACCTTGGTGTCTCCTCTCTTCCCTGCTGACTGCAACAGCTTCTTGCAGAATTCTCTGTGGTCATTTTTGCAACCTCAGAAAGCAGCCAGTGCATCTATTTCCAAAGCAGCTGAGAAGAGTTGTGGGAAGGGGCTGGGTGTAAATCTAGAGTCCCCATTCCAAAGTTGTAGCAGAAGGAAGACTCCAAAATATCCCCGGGGTGCTCTCTAGGGACCATATAATTGTTCTCTTTGTTACAATACATATCTTCCCCTCTAAGTAATAATTATGAAAAGTTATGCTCCTCAAAGTATCCTACAATAATAGAAAAGGATACTTTAAGTTTCTCAATTTACATTAGAATTTGTTGTACCACAATATTACTGTACAATATATTTGTTTATGTCAAATCAAATCAAAGAAATGTCATCAAGGGTTGTAAACTGTTTGCAGAGCAATATGCCTTTTCACATAAACAACACAAAGAACTTCCATAAGTAATGCAGCCCTTCAGTAATTAGCTGAGGCTATTTAGGATTTTAATGCCCCAGATATAGTCCCCTGGGATGAAAAAGTGTTTTTCCTGAATTTATGCCCCTCTTAAGCAACACCAATTGTCATGACCAGTGTCAGGCTTTTGGATGTGACAGATGTGCTACAAGATCCAGGGCAACTATTTGGGAAAGTTTAAGTGCATTGCCAGTGTCTTTCTATTACTTGGCAATACCAGAGGTCAAGATAAATGCATTTTTGAAATTTCATACAGCCCCAACAGAATAGCTTGGCTTGGCTTAGAGTCTCTGATTTTTATAGCACCATCAATGTAAGCTTCACAGAGTAACAATATAACAAAAGGAAAGGCCATTTAGAACCTCCTATTCTAAAGGAGGTTGCAATCTAAATTCTGACAAATAGGGGAGGCATATTCCTCTGGACTACTTTAATACATGTGCTTCCTGAATAAAGCACCCTATTAATCCCTGTGCTCTGCTTATGGTACATGTTTGAAAGGTGGGGTTAATTCTGAGGCGTGAAGAAGGAAGGTAATATGGTGTGGATACAGACTTGCATTCACTTGTTTCTACTTTATTGTAAAGGATTGGATTTAATGAATTTCAGTTTCCTGCCAGCTCCTATCACTCTGTCTCGAATTCTGGAGTTTACCATGACAGAACAAGAAGTGGTAGTTCTGCAAATGACAGAGGCTTTGCAAAGCATTAAAAGTTATTTTAATGGAGTTCAAGTCATAGAGGCTGCTACTGTCAATCACCAAATCAAATCCCAACACAAAATGAACTGGTTTCTGTTCAGTCCTTGTAAGGAGCTGACATCCACATTCAACATGAACACCCATAATGTACTCCCTTATTAGCAATGTTGGCTGAATTACTGTGAGTGCAAATAGTTCAAACCTATTCCTTAGTAGTTCCTATAAAAGAACAGCTGGAAATGCCAAGTCCCCGAGGATACAGTGCTAAGGCCAAATGTCTTTATCTTTCCATGTCAGAGCATAAATAGATGAAACAGAAAATGTCAGTCTCCAGGACAATACAACACTCTCTTTTTTCCAAGTCGTGATGCACACGCAAGGAGCAGAATAATGAGGCAAAGCAGCACATTTGTGCCCCTCTTCTCTAGGGTTAATACAACTTCAAGCATTTCTTCCCACTTTTCACAATTACTAATGTCTGATCTATTCCCGGACTGCTGTCCCTACCTTGTCAAGGAAGGTGGGGCGGTCCATGGAAGACTCTTTGGAGATTGGTGGTGGGCGGCAGCCAAGGGGTTTGGTGACCATTCCATTGTAGTCAGCCACTCCCATTCCACGCTTGTCCATTTCCACCTTCTTTTCCAGCAGAGCACCTGCAAACAGTAAAAACAATGTGAAGGAGTTGAAGAATAGTAAGGAAACTTTGTAAAATCAAGATAAGATGACAAACCTGCTGATATAGCTACTACAATGCCCTCACCTAGATTATTACATGTTACAAGCTGAGATTTTAAAATGCATTTTGTCTTACAAAGCATTATATCTGGCATGGATGACAATACACAACCAACCCAGCACTTAGATAAAATGCTTTCAGGAAAAGTGAGACTGATTTCATTGTAATAGAAGAACACTCACAAGTTTCTATTTCAGTTATAAAAATACTTACTCATGGCCTGATCTAGATTCATACTGTTACTCTTCAAGGCCTCTTCTGCTGGCTCTCTCTGCAAAAATGAAAATGTGGGCTTTTTCAGAACTTCTAAAATGTAGGTTTTATAACAACAGTTAACTCAGTGGGGGATACACCTAAATGTAGGCTAGTCAGAAGGTGAATTTAAAATGTTTTTTTTTTCAAACAGCACTGACTGACTTGCTTGTGAAATGGCTGTGTAAACTTTTACACAAAATTTGAAGCCAACAAGATTTTCTCGGGGCAATTCATAGCACTTTTGACATATACCTTCCTTTGTGAGGAGATCATGACTTGGCATGCTGATATTGTTTCTATGCCTTCCTTGTTGTTGTTGTTGTTGTTTAGCAAAGTTGTGTCCAACCCATCATGACCCCATGGCCATCATTCCTCCAGGCCTTCCTGTCCTCCACCATCCCCTGGAGTCCACCTAAACTCACACCAACTGCTTCAGTGACTTCATCTAGCTACCTCATCCTTTGCCGTCCCCTTCTTCTTTTGCCGTCAATTGTTTCCAGCATTAGGGTCTTCTCCAGTGAGTCCTTCCTTCTCATTAGGTGGCCAATTTGAGTTTCATCTTCAGTATCTGGCCTTCTAAAGAGCAGTCAGGGTTGATCTCCTCTAGGACTGACCGGTTTGATCTCCTTGCAGTCCAAGGGACTCGCAGGAGTCTTCTCCAGCACCACAATTCAAAGTCCTCAATTCTTTGGTGCTCAGTCTTTCTTATGGTCCAACTTTCACAGCCATACATTGAAACTGGGAAAACCATATGCCTTCCTACCTCTGCTAATATGTTATATTCAAGATGGCGATGGAATTGCCAATAGATAATAAAAGAAACAGAAACAAAAAATGAGGACTTCTGTCTGGGCATTTAGCAGCAACCTAATACCTAGGAATCAGCAAACAACATTTTGCATGGCTTAGAAATAAGCAGCAACATCTGCCAATATCTACGAATCAAGCTGCTGATACACATGCAGGAGCTAGTAGGTAAAAAACCCAGCAACCTTAGAAAATTAGTTCTAAGGTCAACATGACTTGGGCACAGAGAGTGAAACCTGAGTTCAAGTCGTGCTTCAGGCAAGCCCTGCCCCTATCCCTTTTCAGCTCCAGTACCCCATATATAAACTGGAAACAAGAGTGATATCCTTCACAGGTTTCTGGGGACATCAAACACTGAGAGGGCAGGGACATTAACAAATGGAAAACAGCCTATGTAGCTCAGCTGCCTGATTTGTGATGCTGCTTCTTTGGCCTTCTGCAGGAGTCAACAGCATGTGTCTTGTGAGCCACATGCAGTCCTTGAAGAATAACTATGTGGTCTGCTCTCATCCATAAGAAGGTTCAACCTTCTCAGTCCTGCATGCTGACTATGCTCAGTCCTGCATAAATGTGTGTGTGCATGTGCACATGGGTGAGCTTGTGGTTCATACATGTCTATGTGTGTGCTCACAGATGCAGTACCAACCCACTATCTATGCCTAAATATAGCCCTTGGGGACAAACAAATTGCCCATCCTGCCCTTCTTGGTCCAAAGCACAACATGCCCCCTCCACTCCCTCCCAGGTTTGTGGCAGAATTTATCTTGTCATTCTGAACAGCTGGCATCTCCCTGGCAGTGGATTTATGGGGTCCTGAAAGCCAGTCTCATCTTTTTGACACCTTCTGCCATGACATGCTATTTAAGCATTACTGATGAATACATGCCTTTGGGTAAGATCTTGGCAGACCAACAACTTAATTATCTCTGTTTGATTCACAGACAGAGAGGGGGAATAAAGATGTATTATTAACAACTTCAAGTCACCTAAATAAATAAACTTTCTAAAATGTGATGCATCCCTCACCTTGTTATGGGACATCTAACTGTATTCAAAGCAGTCCAGAAGATGTAATATTCCAACTATGCATTCTATTGAAACTTGCAGTGCAATCTTATACATTTTCCAGTCAGCAGTAAGACTTATTTTGTTCAATGGGACCTACTCCCAGTTAAGTTAACATGACTTTGCAAGCTTGATGACATTTCTACGGAATCAAAGACATCTATATTTTCTATGAACCGTGGAAGCAAAACTACAGGATATACTGGAACAGAAATGTTACTCACTGGGAAGCCCATGTCTGTGAGCTGTTTTATCAGACGATTCATGATCCAGGCCTCATCTTGCTTACTAGATGTCTTCATGCCCTGAAAGGGAAAACATTTGAACAGATGAGCCTCCTCAGACATAAGTCCCACTGAGTAGGTACAGGACTGAGCCTCAACCTACTCTTTTTAAATATTTATAGAAGGAAAAGCAGTCCAAATCCATATAAACACTTTCCTTATCAATACTGTAGTTACTTCAGGGTACATGCACACATAACTCATTATATAGTCATATGTCCTAACACTAAACCATGACTTAGCATTGTATGCACAAGCTGAAATGAGTCTTAGGTTCACAAGGTCCTTCCTCTCCCATCCTCCTTTGGTGCATGTCAGAGGAGGAAACCAAAAGCATCTGCTTCAAGTTTTAAACAAATCTGAGTTTTCTATTACGTCCAAATGAAGAGAACTCTGGTTAGTTTAAACTATGGTTAATGAACAAGCTAGAATAATACACTGCTGTATCCCGATTTATTTATAATAACAGCTGTTTAAATTAACCACAGTTCCTTGATTTCAAATGTAAGGGGATTAGAATAACACCGAAATGGAAATAAAAATATGCAAATACAATGCTTGCTGCACAAACAGCATAAGTTATGATTTACTGTTGCATATGTTATGCATTATACAGGTCTGACATAACCAGATGGAAAAGATGACTATTTCCTATTTTATTGCTAGACACAACAGAGAAATAATGCACACCTCAAACTCCCAAAAATAATAAATAAACAAATTTATATAAATGTATATTTTATTTCCAAAAACCATTGTTTACAATTAGACTTGCAAGCCATTATCTGAAAATAGCTCATTTCCATTTCTTTGCTTTTGGCTGTATTTAAATGGATGTTTCTAATGCAGAATTCTATCAATTTGTCAATTAAAAACATGGAGTACTGTATGCAGAATGGTATTCCATTGTTGTTGTGATTTAGTTTATGGAATTATATGGCTCAAAAGATCACACAATTTGGCCACAAACTGTAACATCTGATTTAAATCAAGCAGTGAATAGAACCACCACAATACTGGATCATCACCTTACTAACTTTACCACAGCTGACATCACACAACTTGGCCTCAATCCTACATTCTAAGAGTCCAACACACTCTTGAATATACAAAAATAATAAAAATAATGAAGAGTCAAGTTTCCTTTTAAAGCTGGACAACGGTTGCAATACAGTCCACCTTCCTAAGCATTGTGCTAATTCCAAATAAGAACAACAAAAGCAGTAAACAGAGAGAGGTCTGTGATATGATTTGCATTATTCTGGGACATCATTAATCAAGATATCAACTGAAAGGTGTTCAACATTTTTTAACTAGTAGTTATGTACAACTGCCTTTAGAACACCACAAGAGAAATATTACTGCAGAAGGAAGCTGGTCAATAGCTTTTTAATTTTGATTTGAGAGCCTGATCACCAAAGGACATCAAAGCAGACAAAAAACTGCCTTGCAAATATATTACAGAGGTCTTTAAATGGTCCTTCCTTCAGACTGTTGTGAGAAAAAACTATTTTCCAATGAACACCATTGAGAGGAGGTCATTCTATACACAATGATAGAAAGAAGAGTAATAATTTCTTTGTCACTAGTGTCACAACATAGTCCATCAAATAGCTCTTGTTGTGTGTTCGGTCAGTGTTAATATCAGCATGCAGTCACCTGCTCTCTAGCAGTCTTTCCAATTACTTTATAGACTTCCTCATATATGAGTGGGTCCATCAACTAAGCAGAGGGCACTTAGCAGCCACTTCATCAATCGCTGCAACTAGGCTCCTATTCCATAAGGCGATTGGACAACTGACGGAGCAGTTACTAAACCAAGAGCCAAATCACATACTGTATTTAGATTCAGCCTCTAAAAATCAACTTTTCTACTATTCTAATTTTTCATAAGAAAACTCAAAGCTAAAATCTTGTGTTAATAAAAACGAATGTATTAAAACTCACAGCCGGTCCAAGCAAAAATATATATATCCTTGGCAGTGCACTGACTGGCCATGCGAAAGCTCGATGAGTTGTGGCTAATGAGTCACGGCTCATGATGTCATCGCCTGGCACCGCTACTCCTTTCTGAGCATGTACATGGCCCCTATGTGCGCTGTTATCTAGTGCTCAGCTGCTGGAGCGATGCTGGGGTGACTTGGCTCGTGTGCTGACAGAGAGGGCTCTACGTGCCTGCTGTGGCATGTGTGCCATAGGTTTGCCACCCCTGGCCTATATTATTCTGAAAGAGCTCTGTCCTAAAGTTCTGAGCTCTACCTGCCCTGGGTGACTTTTGCACGGATGTCAAAATACTGTTTCATATCTGGTGTGTGTGTGTGTGTGTGTGTGTGTGTGTGAATGTGAACAAGTGGACAGGAGGCAAAACCTGGCTCAAGAACATTACCATCAAGGCACATTAGGCCAAGGTTATATACAACAACAGAACCTAAACTCTATGCCTGCTTTCCAACACCAGGCTCTTATGGGTTATGGTCAAAACAAGATGTGCAAACTATGGGATCCATCTTTGTATCAATCTTATTGCAGGAATATTTTCATAAAATAATGTAAAATATAAAAACCATGCATAAATCATTGGTGTGTCTATCTTTGGGATTTTTAGTCCTACCTTTTGAAGTCCTTTCTTTGGGGCATTCCCCCAGGAGCTACAAGAGGAATTACTCTCTTGTGAAGCAGTATTATTCCACATATCTCCTTCTTCATCTTCCCACTGACTTGTACTGAGATTTACTTCATCTCCACCACTGCCCCAGCTTTCTTGCATAGAAGATTTAGAAGCTATTGGAGAAATGAAGGATTTCAGTTAGCCTTCCTATACTTTAAAATCTAAATATCACACCAATGATATCAATGTTTTACTCTGCTATTACATAATTGGGGAGCATATGTCTTTTGAGTTTGATCTGTCTTTGGTTGTCCAAGCCACAATGCAGAACTTCAGTTTATGCTGTAAAAAGAATGCACAGACATACTCACCTGGTTTGCACAGTACCGGGGCAGCAGCTGGTGCACTCACTCTTCCATATGTCCCTGCTGACTCAGCAGAGTTATCTCCCCACCCTGTACCACTACTGGGGGGCTTCCCCCATGCTGAAGTGCCATTATCAACTGCAGCAGAAGGGGAGGAAGGCTCTCCCCATGAAGCTTCAGGCTTTGCATGGACAGCAGGCATCTCTCCCCAGCCTGCTGAAATCAGAAATGGGAAAGCCATGATTAGAATGAACCATACACACACACACACACACACACACACAATAATAATAATAATATTAAATTTTCAGACTTCATGAAAGCAATGAATCCCCCCAACAATACAGACAACTTGTGAACATGAATCAATTGGTGCACACAAGATTTAATTAGAAACATAAGACACTCATTTAATTTGCTTTTCTAGAAAGGAGTTTGAAGAATCCCTGTGGCACAGTAGGAATCATTTGCTAAAATGGTAAATTCAACCTTTTCCATAATTGTTTTCAGTATTTGCAAATGATAACTATAAAAAGTTGTATCTGCCTCATAATAAGAAAGGCATCTGATCCTTTTGATGACTGATTCAGAAGCATCTCCCGCTCCCCAAATGGTATATGATTACAGGAGGAAACATCAGATGAGAATAATCTAGTAGTTAGTAATGTAGTTTGCTTTCACTAAATATGGTTTAGCATCGTGTCTGAACCTGGGCAACCTCTGGTTAATATTAAATATGGTCCAAGATGGGGTGGACAACATGCAGCATATGGGCATGCCCAGCTGCCCCTTGAGGGAAATACACCTACACACACACACACAAAATGGTACTCTGTAGCAAATACATTTGTCCATTTTAGTGCTCCACTATTAATACAGAGTAAAAAAGTATCAAACTGAGTTTTGACAGCAAGTTAAAGTTATCATTTTAGCACTCTTGAGTATTATGAAGTGGTTAACCACTAAATTTCAGGAACAAACCAGTAATTTTTAAATTTCCCTGATTCAGTGTGAACCAAAGCAGCAATAAGACTGGTGCCCAAATCTCTTGGTTACCCACTCCTAATTTGGGGAAATAAGCCAAGCAGACAGTATGCTTTATGACCCTAGATTGATAATGTAACCATTAGGTAAAATTAAGCACATTTTATGGATTCAGCCATAACGATCAATTGTTTAACTGAATACTGAAGCCAGCACTTCCACTCTCCTTCTTGTGACTGCACCACAAGAAGTGGAGGGTCATCTGGACTGGATCACTATATGCTGAAACCTTAGCAATCTTAGGATATACCGAATTTATCTGGCTCAATAGAAGAAAGAGTTTTACCATTCCATAATATGGAACGTTCAGCCCTTTTCTTAGGCAGCATTATTTAGGTAAAATCATTGTACAAATCCATGTTTGCCTGCTCTTTTACAGAAGTCTGCCTATCACTTGCTATTATTTTCATTTGTTATTTTTAATAGAATATGGATCTCTGCACTGCTTTTTTTGCGGGGAGAGGGGAAGACCTGCATTTGAAGTCCTGATCCCAAACAGAAATGAAGTATGTGTGGCACAATCCTGTTTTGGAGCTAACCTACTTTTGTAAATGGCCTGTAAGCTGTTAAGGTTAATCACCATCAGTCCTTTCAAAAAGGAAGCAAAAGCTATGCTGAAAAGTCAAACATTATCAAGCAATTTGACAATGTTGAGCTCCAATGCATAGGTGCTGGTGTGGAGAAGCCACAGATAGCAGACATCATTCCACTAATCACTTTTAGGTTTTAATATAAGTCTGATACCAAGAAACTGTGGGTTGTGTTATGTTGTTTTAATCTTGGTAAACTGCTCTGAAAGCATGTGCTGAGAGAACAGTCTATAAAACCATAAACAAACAAACAAACAAAAACAAGCTAGCTAGCTAGCTAGCTGTGGAGGTAGAACATTTCATTTTGCATTCTTAATTTTAATTTATTTTGGTGGAAAGCTTAAAATTATCAAATTTCAGGTATTTTCTTCAAACACAAAGAATGTTAACACTGAGCTATTTATGGCAGGCATACAGAATGTGGTGTCCTCTCAATGTTTTGGATTAAAAATTCCATAATCACTAGACATTTAGCTGGGGCATGAAAGAGTCATAATCCTAAAATCTGAAGGGCATCAGACTGCCTCTCCCTATCTAGAGAATAAAGTTTGATAATGATATGTATTCAAGGGAGTACTCCCATGACCTTGGTCTGAATCCTTCCTTAACCATCAGCTGGGAATGTTTCAATGTATCCTTATTACTTAGTCTGTCTGCAAACAGAGAAGTTACTTGGAGGCTTACTTGCAAGGGTGATAAGGATTTTAAAACATTCTGTATGTTAAAAAGTATACAAACCAAGCATACTAAGGCCAGAAGCTAGTTGGCAAATTATTTGTGGTTTTACAAGATCAATATATAATACTCAAAACACACACACACACACACACACACACACACAGTGGAAAATATCTACCAAAATGATCACCATAATGCAAAACCACATCCCAACATTTGAGAGAAAAGCGATACAGTGGATTTGGGAATTAAAAACTTTGGCTTCAAATGTTGTATTATGATTTTGATGGCAGTAGTTGTGAATCTTCTTGATGATGACTGGAGAAGTTGCCCACATCTTTCTCAGAAGCAGAGAGCATCTGGCTGATTTTAGTCAAGCTGATCTCACAAAGGAGGGGGGCAGGAAGCTGGGTCACAAGCAGAAAAGCTGGGGGAAGGACCTGAGAAGTAGTAGAAGATGTGATATGTGGGACTAGGGGAAGAAGAATTGTTCCAGACAGAAAGGTGGTAAGATGAGACCTAATTGGAGAATTGGGGGTGGGGAAATAGAAAGGCCAGAAAGGAGAGGTTCATAAGGCTGTTAAGAAAAGGAAATGCAAAATTCACATTTGGATCTGAATCAATCAGCCATCTGATTCTTTTGAGGAAGTTGGATTAAAGGGCTTCTCCTCATTTCTATATTCATTCTGTAGTTGAATACTGGCATGCATATTGGTATAGAGGAAATTAAGTATAATTAAATATTAGAAAGGAAGCTAGAATGTACAATTTAAAGAGCTCCCAGTCTTTGCAACAGTATATTTAACCTCAACCTGAACACTGCAATTTCCACTGCAACATGTATTCATTTATTAAGCAAAAAGAAAGAGGGACCAGTTTCCCCCGGTTCTCTTTAAATTCAATAATAATGATTAATCACTACCAATCTGTAATGTATAAGTCATTTTGTTAAATACACTGTGTATTGAGCCACATAATATTATGTAAATTATTACTCACAACAAGGGAGTTCATGCCCTGGCAAATTAGTTGTAATTACATGAAAACAATAACATGTGTTAAGACACCCATAGTTTGCAAAGTTCTCAAGAGATCAAATCAAAATGCAAAAAATGGCAGAATTGATCATGTTGATGGTTAGTTAGAAAAATCCTTAAATAGTAACTTGGGCATTGCTGGTATATGAATTCCTAAAACAATTCAAGTTCCATTAGTGTTTTAAGACTTTCCATGAATATTTACAATTCACCCCCCCCACACACACACACACATACTCACACAATTCAACCCTACAAAGTATGTTATGGATTTTCTGAGCGTCCACAGTGGTAGGCATATAAATATCTATGCAGGTACTATACTAGAAGAGGGTGGCAGGTCTCCATTGAAGAGGACAGGTGAATAGGAAATTGCTTTAGATTTTCTGCAGCTTGGTTATTTGTGTGGGTGATCTTTCAGAATATTAGAGTGAAGCATTCCTCACTGACCCAGACCAAGAAACCATTTCAGAGCAGTAATTTGCTCTCTTCAACCTCCAGGCTGACTTGGCATAAAAAGAGCTTTGTCTGACTGTTGATACAATCCCAAGATATATTTTAATTCAGCCTTCCCAACCTATTGGCTTCTAGATGTTTTATACAACAATTCCCAGCCTTCCTGACCATTGGACATGCTGGATGGGGCTGATGAAAGTTGAAGCCTAAAGCTTCTGAAGAGCACCTGGTTGGGAAACCCATTTATTATACCAGAACTACTTCCTTGCTAGAGCAGAAAAGGAATAATAGGGTGATCCACAGGAGATCCCAGAATGGGTACATCAGTAAATAAATCACCGAGTAATTGAGACTTATGCTGTCATCTTGTTTGCTGGACTCAATTTGGGGGGGGGGCATTGTCTTTATGTCATCTAGGGTACAAAACCCAACCAATATTATATCCAGGTTTTTTTTTTATCATGCAAGTGGTTGTATCTCAGCAAAGGGTCATTGCCCAATACATACATTACGAGACAAAGGTATATTTAAAGTCTAGACAGCTGAAAAATATATTTTCAGAGACAATCAAATGATTGCCTTTAAAGTAAAGCATCAAAATAAGAATTTGTTTTGAGCAAAAACCTAGTCAACCACATTCCCAAATACAAATGGACAAATTCCCAGTTTGCCTTCAAAGTTGCAAGAGAAGAACTGAAATAAATGAAGTTTCAAGTATACTCATAATTGCATCCTTCAGTTCTTTCTGTGGGCAGCTTATTCAGAACAAGTAGATTGTGCTATGACAGGCAGTCAAGTCCACCAATTCAAAAGTTATTTGACCTGGGAGAAGGTAATTAGTTTTCCGTCTCTTAGATGTTCTGAATGACTGACCAGATGGTGGACGCTCAACACAGAAGACAGGACTGGGAATTAAAAATGGTTTTCAGGATATTATTTCCTTTAAGAAGTAGATAAAACTTACAGGTGTAAGATTTTTACATTATCTAAATAGGCAGTTAATACATTAAGAAACACTTATTTATTTTATTTATTTAAGGCATTTCTATTTCATCCTATATAAAAGTCTGCACTGGCTGAAGAATTCTCCTTTCTTGTACACAGTTGATTCCAAAGGAGCACAAATATTCAGTTTTAAGACAATGAAGTTTAAAACTTAATAGTGCAAACAAGGCTACGGAATAAAAACACCTCCAACAGAAGTGGATTCTCTTAGTCACTAAGGACACTTAAATTGCTCAAACTAAGAGAGATTCACATGCTATAAAGGTCATGAGGCTCCATGTATCTCATGGCTTTAGCAAGGGGCACTGTCATGATGCTTCAGAACGTCTATGGGAAATACAAAAAGAAGGTCCAATTCCTCAAATTTCAAGAGGAGTTCCACTTAGTATTTTTTAAAAAATGGTTAACACTACAGAGAAGAAATGAAGAAGCACCACTCTTCTCCAGCCAACTAGGAATATGTGTCATATCATAATATGAACAGTCCAACCAAGATGTAGACTCAAGTGGTATACAATGTCTTCAAATATGGTCTCTCCCACTTTATTGGGTGTAGAAGCAATACTGGCTGCATATGTATATTAGAGTTCCTCTATGAACAAAGTTAATTATATGAAGTTCAGGCTCCACTGATTGCAACAGGACTTGCATTTACTGTTTTTAATTTCCATAGGGCTCCAACATGCACACCAAACCTGACATAATGTCAAAGAATGTAATTTGAGCCTTCCATGAAACTAAGAATAAACCCTGTTCATACAGAGCCATGGGTACATACAGTGCCCCTGTGAACTAGTGCCATTGCCACTGGAGTCAGGGCAAAGCTGTATAGTATGAAAATAGCATTATTTTTCTGACCAATACCTTGGTTTTCCAATTTTCTACTTTCATATGAGCTTACAGTGCATTATTAGTATGTCACTCTATCCAACATGTGGCAAACATTGTTAAAATTGGTCTTGCAAGTAATGTGGGCTGCCTAAATGGCCTTGATCAAAGTCACCTTTCCCCACTCTTAAATACCTACATCTATCTATCTATCTATCTATCTATCATTTATTTATTACATATGTATACAGCCCCATAGCCTATGAGGCTCTCGAGGCAATTTACAGATAAAAATATAAAAAGATTAAAAGTACTACAAACAATACAATGATTGTTTGTAGTACTGATTAAAATTGTAGTATGATTAAAAATAAGTATCAAATTAGTATTCCACATGAAAAGATATATGAAATAATACAAAGAGGGGCAACTTGTGGCCCTCCAGCTGCTATTGGACTTCAACTCCTAACATCTCTCACCATTGGCTAGGCTAACGAAGACCAATGAGAGCAGTAGTCTAACAAATATCTGAACATCCACAAGTTTCCCACTGCTGGAGCAACAGAATCCTATTGCACGGGAGCACCATTTTAAGAAGGGAATACAGAGTGAGGGCCAGGGTCATAGTCGTCAGTCTACTAAGCCACATCCCCTTTCTTGTTTCAGGGCTAACTGAAGAATCCCACAGTTCTTTAGAGGGAAGGAGGAGAGGGCCTTCTGCTGCTGATTTCTAAATAGTAGTAAATTGAGATTATGACTGAAGATTAGCACATCCAAACATGTAGCTTTTAAGACAGGGGAGTCTGTAAGCCTAAACAGACTGACAACTGAACCTATAAAACAGTGTTTTGCTAGTGTTGTCCAGGTTACAACATGATACCTATGAAGAAGTAATTACACATATAACTTAGATTAGTTGTTTCATTTTGGTTCTTTGATTGTCAGTCTTCTAGGAAATGTCCATTCAGTGAGAAGGGATTCATGGTGCTGGGATGGAGAAAATGTCAATAACGAAAACCTGGAAAATCCTTGTTCACTTAATAGGGCTGCAGAACTAGTAGACAGGTTTGGAGGGATTCTGACCATTGATGCAGCCCTCTGGTGTCACGGTGTTTGCACTGGCTGCTGGCACCACAGTGGGCAAGGCAACTCAGCTCTATTATATCCCCTCCACTTACCACATTTACCACAGCCTGAAAAATATAATGGGTTTGTGACCAGGCATATGCCCATACACTCTAAGACAGGGGCAGCATGCACACCAAGATTGGGGTTGCTGTGCCAGGTGCAGTTGGGTAGAAATTGCTTGATTTACCAGGACTGCCTTAACAACATCAAAGTGACAGAGAAGCACTAGTGCACATCCTGTCCCAATTTTAGCCACATTACTACCGCCTCCTAACCTTGGAAAGCAGTAGCCAAAGGGAACTGGCCAAAAAATGTAGAGGAACCATGTCCCTTCTCCTGTCCCTCTGGTTTCCACACCTACTCTGGGTAGATGCACACAACTGTTCTCTCCTTGTTCACAATGTTTGTGCATGTAGCAGAGGCTAAGTCATGCCTACTGTTTTGTTTATCTCATCAGAGTATTCAATACATTTTATACTGGAATTGTTGTTTCACACAGATTCAAATTCAAACTTAAAATCCTTCATTAAACAGAGAGAGGCATGCTACCAACCTATTTCCATATGAATAAGACGCGATACAATCAGTAAAGCTCAGGGTTCCAGATCTAGTGAGGTTTTAATACCCCACAAGATCATATCAAAGTGTTACATAAGAATTCCTAGGGACATAATTCCAACATATGTAAGAAATGAGAAATCCTCATCTACAATGGATGAGATCTCCTGCAATTATCTAGTGAAAGTAGCACAAACCTTTTTAAACTGACTGAAAAAGCAGTTCTCACTATAAGTTATGTATCTTCTTTTAAAGCTCCCTTAAACTAAAACTTGTGAATTCAAAAGGTTATAGGGGTCTATTGGAAATTTCTTTACTAGAAAAAACTGGAAGTTTTAAAAATTCTATATGGTTGGTGTAACACAAATCACAGCTAACTCTTTTGTTCAATAAACAAAATGAAACATGTATTTTTCTATTTCTCAAAGCAAAACAAAATCTTTGTTTGAGATAATGAACAAATCACTGGTTCCAACAACTAAGCAACCTCTTGGATAACAGCCACAATTGAAGAAATATGTCTTTGGCAGGAGACAGCCAGAGCAACAGAAACAGATGTGCAGTGTCTGAGAATGGACATCAAAGACTGGACAACACTGAGGACGTTTAACAACAAAGATAGGAAGTTAAAGTACAAAATAAGGCACAAGCTATGAAGAGAATATTTTAGGATTTGTTCCCTGAAATACTAATGAATTCACAATTGCATTCAGGTTAAGTGAAAGTCATTATATTATATAGAATTGTCAGCTCATGCCCTTAAACACACCTACTTGATTATATATATTTTAAGAAAGGGATTCAGTGTCCCTATCCAATTACCAAATTTGCTGTATAATCTGATTGTTCTTTGCACTTTTCAATTTTGCAGAGTTTTTAGTAGACAAAATTAGTCCCACAATCACTATTTTAAAAGATATGTTTCACAGCTTGATTTAATAGCATACCATTTTCTTATATATAAGCTTTTGAAAGTAAGGTTGCAATCCTATACATACCAATCTGGAAGTAAGTTTCACTGAACTCAGTAAGGCTTACTTCTGAGTAGACATGAAGAGGTTTGCAAAGTTAGGGTCATATGTCTCTGTGTGTCTTCTATTCTGGATAGAAAATCAAATCACAAATTCTAGTACAATACTTTGACACCATTTTTAAACCTTATTCATATTACATACGAATCTATCTTTGAGAGAGTGGATATATAACCAACATAAATAAATACTGCCCATATCACACTCATCACAATTTCTTTCCAGAGTTTAGCATACTTTTTTTTTTGAGAAACAGAAACTTTTATCATACCTGGACCAAGCAGCGGGGACCGGTTTGACTGGGCACTTGACTGGTGCGGTGGCTGAGGTTCAGCCATGTTTGCGTTGATAATGGTGGTGGTAGTGGTGGTGGCAGCAGTACTGCTCTGGATTACAGGATTGTTTCTATCCCACATATTTACAGTCTTGTTGTTGTTATAATTGGGGTCACCCCAAGCTGAGGTACCATCATCAATCTCCATCTTGCGCCGAATGGATGGTGGAGAAGGCTCTTCCCACCCAGTTGCTTCACTACTATCCTTCTGTTTGGCTGGCACTGGTCCACCAACCCATCCAGATCCAGTCTGTTTAACAGAAGCAGCTCCTCCCCAATTACTCACGTTGGTGTCCTGGGATTTAGAAGCCCAGTTTTGTTGTGGACCAGGTTTTAAAGATTCCCCCCAGCTTGTACCTGTAGTAGCCTTGCTGTTTGTGCCATTTCCCCATCCACTGGTCCCAGAACGTGTAGCATCATTCCAGCCAGACCCTGATCTATTATCAGCATCCCATCCAGAACCATTCTTTTTCCCATCTCCCAAGTGTCCAGAGACAGATGAAGAATCAACCCAATCTCCACCACCTGAAGTCCAGCCTGGATTTGATTTCTGTCCATCTCCCCAGTTTTGAGATTTGGGTTTCTGAGGTTCACCCCAAGTAGGTGACTTGTCCTCCTGATTGGTGGTCCCACTCCAAGTGTGGCCACTTTTGGCAGCAGCAGCATTATTGACAGCAGTAGAACTTGTCGGCTCTCCCCATCCCCCAGGGCCATTTGGCGCTTTGTTATTGTTGTCGCCCCAACCTGTATTAGTCGGAACTGTTGCGGGTGGAGAGCTGACCCACCCAGATACTGAAGAGGTATTTGTACTGTTCATGATGGACCCATCATTCTTGCCCCCCGAGTTTGAAGGCTGAGTAGCTGCACAACCCCAGGCCTCAGTTCCATTGTCATTCTTTCGTTCAGACCTTGGAGATTCTTCAAATTCCCAGGCAGTGTTTTGCTTTACAGGAGTCTGTCCCCATCCAGTGTTGGACAGAACTCTTGGGTCAAGGTCATTCCTTGGCAACTGGACAGATCCTTGTTCTATAATCCCCTTGTCTCTTCTTCGACCCTCTCCAGTTCCTTCCCTCCCAGTACTACCTTCATTCTGGCTCCCATTGCTATCATTACTTCCTTCACTACCTGTGTTGCCAGATGCTGCAGCTTTGGCCCAAGAGTTTATTTGTTCATTGCCCTGCTGCATGGCAGGATTCTGGCTGGTAACACTAGAGCTATCCCACCCTGTTGATCCTTTCCCATTGATGTCATTACTGGAATGCTGGTTTGGGGGCTTGCTCCATTCACCATTGACACCATTACTGGCACTGCGGCTTGGGTGGCCCCAAGCACCAGCATGCATATTACTGACACCACTGTTGCCACTGCCCCTGCCCCATGCTAAGACACCAGGACCAGTAGGAGGTCCTGAATCCCATGCACTTGTTCCATTTCCTTCCTTTTGCACAGCACTGCTGGATCCATTTTGTTTAGCACTTAATGCTGAGTTCACAGTGTCTCCATTCCCCTGACTGAACCCAGAATTGCTGTTTCCTGTGGCAGGATTACTTGGGGATATCCCCCACACTGAATTGCCCATTCCTTCACCACTTCCCCCACCGACTTGAGATACTGATGTCCCATTAGCACCAGGAAGGCTTTGCAGATGGGGCGGGATGATGGCCCCCATGCCAACAGCCATGCCCCAGTTCGGCAGTCCATTTGTCTGCATTGCATTGATAGGGTTTGGTGAAGAGTTCATGGGGTTAGCGTTATTTGGTCCATCAGTGTTAAGGTTCTGAGGTTGTACGCTGAAAGACACATTCTGAGAAGTGGACGTTTGTGGTTCTGTGCTCTCTTGCGGCAACAAGTTTCCCCAAGCACCTAAGGTGCCTGTTGGGTTCCCATTCTGGTTGCCCATGTTCTGACCTATGGCACTGACTGGACTGCAAATACTGGAGGGGTTGCCTGCTCCCACAGTTCCTTCATGTCCGAGTACAGGCCAGGCAGCTGGATTGGCATTGGGGTTAAGGTTAAGATTAATGCCAGCATTTGAGTTGGAAGCACCCCAGCAATTTTGACTTCTACCATCTCCAATCATGTTGTCCATCTTTCCATCCCCACCACTGGCAGAGCAATGAGCTAAGCCAGAGCTGGAACCTGTGGCAACACCCCACACTCTGGCTGAGTTTCCATTACCATTTGCTCCACCAGCTCCAAGGGCACTCTGGTTAGAAGTGCTTTGGATGAGTGCTCCATTGGTGCCATTATTGCCATTGGGTTTCTTTGTATGTCCAGTGAAGTTGCCTTGGGCACTCCCTGTAGCCATGCTACTATTCTCTGAGCCACAGTTGGAGGCAGAGTCAGTGTCTGTAGTACATTCTGAGGCAGACTCAGTCTCAGTTCCTGTAATGGAAGGCCACGCTTCCTTGTCAGTCCTGTCTATTATCACTTTATCCCAGCTGCAATTGGCTTCACTTCGGAAAGTGGGCTGCTGTCCCCAGTGAGTATTCTCATAATGGTCTCCCAATCCGCTGTGACCAAGTTCTGAAAAATTAAACATGATGCAAATTAGTCCGCTATTCAACATCACAAATACACAGGTTGCACTCTCGGCTTGATTGCTATGTTTACATCCCTTATGGAACATCTTTCCTCCTTTACAGCTTACTGTATGGGCGTGCATAAGGGAAAAAAATCTGACTTTCACAATGCCTTGTGGTAGAGTGGTTCATATATCTAAACAAATTCCTCTAAAATATAATGCTTTCCACACTCTGAATTCTGTGTCCTGAATATTATCACTTTATGCTAATATGCATAGGTTTTACATATAACAAATAGTACTATCTCTTTTTTACAAGGCTGTACAAATAGGACTGGACTGATACAAGAAACTGTGGAGTATTGCAAAGTAAGTCCGTTTTTCTTCAGGGCAAACCAAAACTGCATCTGTGTTGCTGGCAGGTAGCCCTGACTATTATTGCATGCAGTAAATAAATTATATGAACACACCTAGACTCTTGATTTGGGACAAGTCTACAAAAGCAATCAAATTCATTATCTGGTTGTAGCAGATATTTGCCTTGTTTTACTTAACAAACCGAAAAAAAATCCTTCAGTTTTGGAACTGACTTCCAAAATTAAAAATACCCCTCAAAGATCAGAACTGCATCATTTTCAGTTTTTGTTTTTCACTACAATAAAATGAAAATCAAGGAAATCTTACAAACTATTTTCTGATGACTGACAAAATATGGCACTCATTGCATATAAACTAACACTCCAGCAGTGAAGGTGGAGCAAAACCATGTGTGATGGCTGATGTGTAGTGTCCCCTTAAACCCTCCAGGGAAGCATAGGACTATGCTCTTGGACTTGAAACCTTTCATCATCATCATCATCATCATCATCATCATCCGCATCAAAAGAGTCACTTTTAAGTAGCTTCAGATTGAGGTCTTACATATACATTTTAAAAACAGAAAATCTAAAATATGGGTGTTCTAACTAAGCAAGTGAATGATGAAAATCACGAAGAACTTGTACCACAGTAATGATACTCAGTGAATAGAAATGGCATATTTGCTACTCTTCACATATGATTTAATAGAAAAAATCATTCACAGACCTATTCAAAAATTTCTACAAACTAATTCAAATCAGCTGGATCTTCTAAGAATTCAATCAGCTGCTATGCCTTCCTTTAAGCCTAAATATAAACCATTCCCCAAACATTTAACATTCTGGGTTTCTACAACTTGAGCTCTTGTGGATTGTTGAGATAAATCTCTGCCCATTTTAAATAGGGACAAGAAGACTCTCTCTCTCAAAAATAAGAAGTTATCAATATTAGTAATCCATCAAAGACTGCACTGGAAGACTCAATTTGACAGCATACTATTTTAAATGATAAATTAAGATGTATCTGAAGGCAATATCCAAAACAGGCTGAAGATGTAGCCTTGTAAATAAAATGCGTACATTCACTTTAAATATATAGTATAGAGCCAAAAATACGTATATTCAAGGGGAGTGGCTAAGTCTGTCAAGCTATATTGAACATTATGAATAGACACTGTCTGATTTCATCAGCACTTCTATCTTGGAATCAAACCAATTTGAATTATCAATTTGGAAGGTTATAAAACACTCCTTCTTACTATTTCTTTCTTTCATGCCACATGTCTTTTCTGTCATGACACTTATTAGTGTGAGCTGAATTCCTGGTTGCAAAAACGTTTAGAAATTTGTGCTGTAAGTTTGCTCTAAGATGAACCCTGAGTGCATAAATGCTGAAGCTGTTGGACTGTGCCAGAAAAGCATAGGCAAATGTGAAAGAGTTAAAGAGTTGAGAGCACAAAATAAAACAGCTTTATTTACAGACAAAATCCAAAATTAGGTCACACAAGTGGGGAAGCCTATTACTCTTTGAATTTTCTTCACTACGGTATGCAATGAAGTATGCACGCTCTAATGTAGGAACCTTGACTGCATTCAGAAAAAGAGCTGAACAGCATAAAAGAGAGCATTCTTCATTATTAGATAATGAGTACTCCATGCAATACTAACACTCCAAAACCAAACAGCGGTAGATAATGACAAATAATAACTTCATTTTATTGCCCAGTGCAGCATATCTTTAGCAAGCAGCTCTTTCTCTGAGGACGCCATTTTATCAAACCTGAAAGGCAGCCAAAAGCTTAGGACGCTGTACTGCTGTCGCCGCTGCCTCTGAAACATTATGTAATAAACTGGTTTAACAGAAGCAGATGCTATTTGCCCCCTTTTTCTCCTCCTGCTGCTCTAAAGGGGCCAAGGAGTAATGAAATACCTGAGGAAAGGTGCTGCCCAACCATCCTAGGAGACGCTACATTGTGTGCAGAGCTGTCTCCCCTCCTGCATCTAGGTTCGCCTGGGCTCTCGGCTTCAATATGTCGGCAGTGTACAGAGTGAGCCTCATCCTGTAGAGCTGCCAAGAAAATTGCTCAGTGCAAGTGTGCGCCCAGACAACCTGCAAGCTTGCTCGGGCCTTAGCCGTACTGGCTTTGGAAATGCCCTCTGCATAAAGAAAGACTCCTCCATTCTCCTACCCCCGCCTCCAGCAGTACACAGCCCCCTTAACTCTAGCTAAGGTATCAACAGATGAGGATTTTAAAGCTTTGATTGTCTAATTGCAGCTGACACTAAACCGATCTTCCTTCCTCTTTAAATTCTTTCAACTGTCACAAAACATTTTCACTCCGAGACCTAGCCACAATTAGCACGGTAGCTTCTTTTCTTCTGGCTTTTGAAAGTCAGCCAAAAGAACAGCCGCATATTGCTGATTGGTTGCATGCAAATACATTCCTGCCTCCTTCATCTTCCTGTTCTCCTCATCACATCTCAAAACAGCAATGCTACACATTTGGCATACTAGTACAAACTATAATATTGGGGACAAACATCTCACAGAAGCTGGCAAGCCTCCAGGCGCTTAATTACTTCTCTGCCTCCGTTGAGAAAATGTGCAAGAGTAGTAAAAATCAGTTTTTATTTGTGAACATGAAAAATTGCCACTGCATGCCCAAACAATATATTGTAGACTTACAGTGCTTTCCTCCCCTGCTCTTCAAATTTTCAAGCATAGCATTATAGGGGTTTATTTACTTTAATTTCTAGTCAAAATTCAGTATTAATCTTCTGAGGTTTTTATTGCACTTGATGTAATATTTAGTGTAAGGGGTGTAAACAATAGAGTCATCAACTTAGCCAGACTATGAGGCTTCTAAACCCAAAACTAACAGAAGGGATACAGCACTATACTCACTTGGCCTTATTACTAAGAATATATTTATTGTATTCTACAATAGGTATTCCCAGAATTAAATAGGTATGAAGACTATAACGCTATGTTAAGCATACTATGCAGATATTGCACAAACAGAATCAACCTTACGTATTCTAAAAGAAAAAAATGCAAATGTATCCTAAACCACATGTACCAATAACTCTTCACTCAAAAGGCTCATAAAACTTCTAAACTGTCTAAGGACATGTGTATTGTTAAGACTGCATCAAGCATATTCAGGAGAAGTTCCACATCCTGTAAATCTCAGCTTTTTAAAAGCAAGTTTCCAGTCTGTAGTAATGATACACTACTCTTGAAACTACAAAGCCATTGCTGATGAATGAAGCCAAAAAGGCTGCTGAGCAGGATTTTCAGTGATCAGGACTTCAAATATCCTGCCGTGTTAGGTAAACAAGGAAGAGTTTAATGCCCTCCCTCTGCGAACTATTCTCTGTATAAAAGTCAAAATGCAAATGTGCTACTTTGCATCTTTTACATAGATGGAAAATAGTTGGCTCCAGCAATCTATATGGACTTCTGTGCTTTTTAAAAAAATACAGAGAATGCATCATTCATAATCTCATTGAGAATGCATATGACTCATATTTCTTTGAGTATTCAGCTGCTTTTTCCGAGCTGCCACTAATATCTTAACTGTTTTCACCTGGTGTAAGAATTCATAATTTTGGTTTTAGTATTTTATCTAAATACTGTTTCATTTTACATATTTTATATTCTACTTTTTGTCTATTACTTTAAACCGGCAGATCCTACACCCTGCCCTAGACAGTCCCTAAATACTTAAATAACTAGCAGGGATGGTTGTGGGTGGGCTAGCAAAATGTATATATTCAAGTATCTTGTATCAATTTATTTGCAACAAATGTATAAAATTTCAATACATTAAAAAAACCCACAGGGAGACATGCTTGAAACTATTGTTTATGTTTTGATTTCTAGTAACCACAGTTTTGGGTATAAGGTGGTATACAAATGAAAAAAAATATTAATAGTAGTTAGATACTGAAAAGCTAAACAGCAGATTATGAGTAGCAGCAGCACGATGTGACTTCCCTGATTTCCTTTTTGATTTCAAACACATCCTGAATATTGCAATTGTAGAGAATGTGTATGTGTGTGGGGGATTGTTATTCTAGAAAGTATCTTGGTATCCTTTTCTCTGGGTAAAACTATAGTCACTATTTGATTATCCTTTAAACATGATAGCCTTAAAAAGTGTTTAACATGTTCTCCAAACTATTTAAAATTACTCACACACATACTAGATAGAAGAGATACAGATGGGATATAGAAAGTGATGAAAGAATCCCAAGTGCCTATGCATTCTAAACATATTTTTCTAAAATGGAACAAGTGACCTAAAAATGAGACACCCTAACTCAAAAATATTTGCTTGCTCGCTCGCTTGCTTGTTTAAATAGACCCTGGGAATTCAGATAACTTTTTCAGTCTGGCACCCAGTCAGATCCTGCAAGGGAAATGAGAACTGTGATCACTATAATTGGTTTCTATTTATTAGTGACATTGTATTAAAGCTTTGTTTTCTTCCATTCTTGTGCCAAATACTTCCTCTCTTCTTGTTACAAATACTGAAGTTTAAGGTTCTCCAATAAGGTCATTTACTCAGCTTTCTTGCTTGTCCAGGGTAAGTCTCAAGCCCTGAATCAACTGTGTTCAACAAATGCGAGGGGTTCATCTTAGGGAGGTTATTTAGTTTTTAATTCCTATTTCAGACAAATGTCATATTACAATTAAATTCACTTTTAAAAAATTGCTTTGTTGGTACAAGTAACAATTATGATTTAAAATGCTATGATTTACACTATCCTGCTACTTCTAGAAGACTTCAAAAAGCCATGCTTAGGGCCATAACTTGAAACAAACTTAGACAAACATTTTAGGTAAAATCATATTTCTGCTTAGAAATTGACTTATTGCTCTAGAAATGTCATTCGAAATCCTGAACTTCTTTCGACATAGACATCCTCCCTCAGCACACACACAGCGTAAATAGCTGTTATGTCATAAACATCCCAGAGGAAGATTAAGACTTCAAGTGGAACATAAGCAGCAGGAAGAGCAGGTCATTTTCCAACCCAGTCAAAACCGATTAGCCCTGCTAAAAATATACAAAAACTCCACTGAAGGAAACAAAGGCTGCCAAGTATATATCATACTTTTTACAACCTCCCAAGCTTAGAAATGCAAAGTTTAGCTAATTCAAAGCTGTGCTCTTTCTTGTTTACCCATAGACAATTGCTTTAAAGCACTACACCTATTACATGCTAAGGTCACAGCCTACACTTTTTGACCTTTCAAATTCAAATAAACCAAATGTGAACTAAGCAAAAGCATCTTTTTTTACAGAGGACAGTTCTGTATTTGAAGGGTTGCCAGAGGACTATGTTCTATGTTGAAAGCATTCTTCTGGGCTCAAAGCAACAGAATAAGATTCAATAAGGACAAGTGCCAAGTCCTCCACCTAGGAAAAAGAATCCAAATGCATTGATACAAGATAGGGAATATGTGGCTCAACTGAAAAAGAAAAAGATCTCGGAGTAATTGTGTACAATAGGCTAAACATGAGCCAACAATGTGATGCAGCCGCCAAAAGGCAAATGCTATTTGGGATGAATTAACAGAAGTATTACTTCCAAATCATGAGAAGTAGTAGTTCCTCTATATTCCTCACCAGTCAGACCTCACCTGGAATACTGTGTCCAGTTCTGGGAACCAAGCTTTAAGAAAGATGTAGGTAAATTAGAAAGGGTCCAGTGGGGGGCAACAAATATTATCCAGGGTTTGGAAACACTGTCCTATGAGGAGAGACTAAGAGAACTGGGCATGGTCAGCCTTGAGAAGAGAAGACTGAGGGGGGACATGATGTCTCTCTCTAAGTACCTCAAAGGCTGTCACAAAGAGGAAGGTCAAGATCTCTTCTTGCTGATGCCAGAGTGTAGGACACAGAATAATCAATTCAAGTTGCGACAACCTAGATTCAGGCTAGACATCAGGAAGAGCTTCCTCACTATCAGAGCTATATGGTAGTGGAACCAGCTGCCTAGAGAGGTGGTAGGCGCTCCCACACTGGAGACATTCAAAAAGAAACTGGACAGCCACCTGAGTGGAATGGGGTAACGTGGTGTCCTGCAACAGCAGGGGTTGGACTTGATGGCCTTCATGGCCCCTTCCAACTCTACTATTCTATGATTCTACGATTCTCCTATTTCAAGGGCTGCCTAGTTCAAATCCAGTTTAAAGAACCATCAGAAGGGTGAGCTGGGACTTTGAAGCTGGCCATCAACAGCACCCTGAACATGGTACACAAGTCACCTGGACACTGTCTTCCATATTTTTGTTATACCTACTGTATTTCTATTTAAATTATAATAATTTATTATAAATTTGCTTATATAATTATAATTTAGCATATGGAAATTTTAATGGAAATTGTTCTCTTCTTTTGTCCTCTTGTTTGGCGATATATGTCCTTTTCTAGCAATTCACAAGTGGCTCAACAAGTTTGGTTCAGAGAGGCATAACATTTCTAAAATAACAGCTCAGCAATAAAATCAATTAAGGCAACTATTAGTATTTCACATTTGTAATAGTGTCAATATACTAGGCACTAACACAACATACTTCTAGCCATTTGAAACAACTTATGAGCATGAATAAGCTTACACTGAAAATTAGATTTCTAGCTCTCAGAGACATAAGTTTCAGTTAGTATCCTATATCAGTACAGCACATGCCAAGATCTAAAATAAATGTTAACAAACACACTGTAACCTATAGATTTAAATAACGTACAGATATTCTACTTGTCTCCTTAGTAAACTTTCGGGAAAACTGCATTCTCAGGGACAATTTCACAATTGCCTTCCCCCTCATCTTCCTTCTAGTACATGTCCAGTGCTAGCATTCTTTTCACTTCTCCACTTACATATTTAAATTTCAAATGCATCAGCACTTGCAAAATCTATTTAAGGCCCTCTACCAACAACTGAGTTCTTCCTACAGACATGTAAACCTTTTGATGTGCAACCAAGAGACTAAAATCATTCAAGTTTTAAGATTAAGCAATATTTTCTTCAGAACCATATGCAACCTGATGGCAGATTTATTTTCCAATCTTGCTAAAGCATTTTATTGCTTATTGTTTTCAGATGTTACTCACTATGAAACTTCAAGGAAAGGCAGAGGTAGAATATAAAGGATAAAACATAGTGCATTTGCTGTAACTGAACTTTTCTTCCAACTATTTAATAATGAACCCTTGAGGTTTATGTACAACTCCACAAGAACTATTCATGCGGAACTTCCTAAGCGCGTATCAATATAAGGTATTTTGTATAGGGTAGCAGCAATAGCTGTCTTTCAGAAGTAAGTATTTAAATACATACAGCTTGAATTAAATATCCTACATTGGCTTGTTAACAATTATGATGTTTTAACATCACAACTGAATGTCTAGCAGTAGCCAAAATCAGTAATGTCCAGATCTTTGAGGGGGAAAATAAACAAAAATTAAAAAAATAAACAAAAGAATGTTAATAATATAAAGAATGTTTGGCACTTAGCATACCAAGCAAAATATTATTTTGCCAACCTTAAGTCCACCCAGCCTGGAAACACACAAACAATTCTAAAAAGACAAGGCAGTTTAAATTCAAAGATCTGGAAGAATTGTTTAATGCGCCAATTACACTAAAGGGAAATTTGTAAAGCGCCTTTACATGCTGACGGAGTTCAGACAAGATGACAACCCAAACTCAAAGGCTGAGTACAGGTTGACTGAGGACTGTTGTTGAACTGTGGATTGCTGCTGAAACATGAATTATTGTCCAAACCCAGTTTAGATAACAAACAATGGTTAACAACTCACAGTTCACAACCAACAATCCATGGATTATCTTTCTCTGTTGTTCATGATTAATAAACTTTAGCTTGTTAGGACAGCTGAATTCCAACAACAAGATATGCCTTGGTTTAATAACAACCCACAATTGAACAACAACCCACACTCAACCCAACTTATGAGTGTGGGTTTTCATATGGTGAGAGTGTTCAGGGATTGTGCTCACTAAAAATTAAACGTTATTAAATAAATGTTCCACGGACTAATTTTTCTCTCAGTGTTAACAGCATTAAGGCAAATAAGTAAAATAAACTGGAAATCAAAGCTTAATTATAATCAAACCTCACCAGGATTTATTCCTTGAAACATTTTTTTTAACTGCTGGAACTCAGCCTTGATGCTCATGAAAAGAATGCTTTCCCTCATCATTGGAGCACTATAGTCTGGTCCATACCACATGTGTTGGAGAGGCAAATGAGGCTTACAGTAGGTTTCATCCATGGCATCTTCCAGCAACAAAAATTTAAGTTATAAAAATATGTAAGAGTTTACTAATCAATACTTATTAGGCTGTTCCCAGAACCTGTGGCAGCAAACTCCATAAATTAATTAGGGAATCTAGAGTATTTCCCCTCTCCCCAACAACTCGGAAGAGGAAATTTATTTTAAGTGGTAGTTCGCTAACAGCAAATATATTTTGGAAGGTCTTGACCCTTTTTAGAATTAGGCAGAGAACTCTGTTTTGTCTCCCTTTATCAATTAATAAAGAGCCTGATGTTTCCGGCATATCCTGAAGTTCGTTTAAGACAAGATGCCCCTCTACTCCACTTATTCACTCCAAATAAATCCTGCCTTTTTACATTGCTGGGTCATCTTCGGTAGTTTTTATTTAACCACTCTTTTTCTCAGGATGGTATATATTCAAATAATTCTTCTCAGTTATGATATGAGCTGGCTTAGAGTCCATTCACTCTCCCTGAACTAGTTCACATTGCTACAATATCACATACATTTAGAACATGCTTATTTGCCAACACACAGTTTGACATTTTCAGCAGATGTTGAAAAACAAATTTTCAAACTGTGTCAACATTTGGTATAAGTGATTTAAACTCTTATGGTTTCAAACAAGCATGGACTTGGAGAGTATCACTGCTTCTGAAGAAATATGCTAAGACAACATTGTACAATTCCTTTTGTGTTAATCCTTTGTCTTTCATATGCACATTAAAATAATAGTTTTGTTTCAATCACAGTCAAAGTCTGCAAGGTTGTAAGTAGTATTTTTTCAAACTAGCTCATGCATGACACTAACAATTGGTTTGCAATCAATTACTATCATGCCTATACAGGCTAGAAAGAGCAAAAAATTGTGTTCTTGAATAGAGGTAAGATTAAATGTTTCATTATTTACACCGAGGTGTGATTCAAAGAACTACAAAGCAAACAAATGTTATTGTAACGATAAATAAGCCACCCAAAGAGCTTTGGCTATTAGGTGGTACAGACATATAATTAATGATATTCAGTATCAGTTTAATATTAGTAACAATATTACAAAAACACCCACATTTTAGTTACATCACTGCAAACCTTGCATTAAATACATGTGATAAGAACATAAGAAAAATCTTGCTGGATCAGACCAATGGTCTACCCAGTCCAGCACTCCATTCACATGATGGCAATTCAACTGCCCACAATTCCTCAAGCAAGATGAATACACTGAGCTGATTTTGCAAGTAGTATGTATTTGCAAGTATTATTATACATATTACAAGTAATATGTATGTACTCATTATGTTCATACATATGCACATAAATATTCAAAGTTCCTGTTCCACATCACTAATATAGGTTGAGGTAGGTTGGAATGACTGTTGAGGCGAAGCTATCATTGGTAGGATATTCTCTCATAGGATGCCAATTTTGTGAGGTCTTCAGTCCATTACTGTGCGGCTATACATTTTGATGTCATTTTGTGTTTTGTTTTCCCCCTTTTTTCTGTATATCTGTTTTTGTATTCTCAATTGTTTTTCACTGATGTTTGGTTTTGTTGAAAGATTGCAAAAATCAATAAAATTTGTATCAGGGGAGAATGACCTTGGCAGTTCTATTTTAATTCCTTTCCCAATTATGCCTAACATGAAGTTGGCCTTTTTTACAGCAACTGTGCAGTGGGTTGACATTTTCATTGAGTTGTCTGCCACAACCCCAATATCCCTTCCTTCATCAGTCACTATTAGCTCAGACCTCATTAGACTATACCTGAAGTTAGGAGTTTTTTGCCTCAGTGTGCATTACTTTACACTTGCTTATGTTGAATTGCATTTGCCATTTTGATGACCCTTCTCCCACCTTGGAAAGATGGCTTTGGACCTCCTCTTACTCCCTTTCTAAATACCTGTGCACCATAAATTGTACAGGATGGTTGGGAGACCCCCCAGTGCAGATTTAGAGGGTGTACAAGGGGTCTGCAGGGGGAAGAGGGAAAGAAAAACTGCAGATGCAAGAACAGAAGTCCACATGTATAATATTGGTTTCAGTCTTTAGACTGCACAATTACCTAGAAGTAAATACTGTAAACTATAAACTTTGCAACAAGTATCATTATTTACTAGTTCTGATATATTACTACTTACTAATTTTACTCTTTTTATTATTATTACAATTCTCTACTGCCCATAGCCAAAGCTTTATGGGTGGTTCACAACATTTAAAGTCATCCAACCAGATTCCAACCAGGCCCTACTGGACCGAGCTTCCAAGATTAGGCATGAACTATTTAAACAAAATAAACTCCAAGAGACCAAAACTATATCTGCAGCTATATTTTTCACATCTAAGCAGAAGCAGACTTGGGAAAAATTCTCAACCGGAGCATGGGAAGCAAAGACCAGCAGCTCTGAAATAGGCACTGCCAGGTCCAGGTTTAGCATGTACCTACCAACATTACAGTATTTTAATATTTCTGAAGAACTGAAAGTCACACTTATGCACTGTTCACACATGCTTTCTAACCGAATCTGGCCCTGTGGCAAAGAATAGAACAAACTCTTCCCCTCTAAATGACCATTATGTTCTGAATGAGAGAGAGGCAATTCTGAGTTAAAGATTGACTATTAAGTGAACACATGAACAAGTCATTCGTCAGGTTACAGTGATTTTTCCCCAGCACAAATACCTTACCTGTTGGGGTCTGGGTCTTACTGGGGTGGTGATGTCCACCTGCTCCTGGTTGTGGAGGAGGACTTGCTCCTGCTTGTCCAGTACCTTGTGCTGGGCTCGTGCTGATCAGAGTTCCGGTAGGCAGAGGCTGGCCTCTCTTTAAGAGCTGCTTCTGTTCCTGTTGGCGGAAGCGTGGAGGCACCTCACGAGGCAGGTATCGGGATGCAGCTGGCTGCTGTCCATTGGCAGATGCACGCTTGCCATTGCTATTGTTAGTAATAGTGCTGGTGGAAGTACTGGTACTGGTACCGGCAGGTTGGGGCTGGCTTAAACTGGTCTTAATAGGTTCTGGCACTGTGAGAAATTAGACATTAAGAAAACATTTGTTAGGAGGTCATACAACACAAAATTCCTTTCTAACATCAGCATAATTGAAGTTAAATTTTATTTGCGTGTCCTTTGTCAGAACAAATGAGCAAATTTTTAAAAACCACTGATTTAAATATTAACATCTGTGTTACAGAAAGTCATCACAGGACACATTAAAAGCTATTTATTGGCAACAATGACTGACATATTGGATCCCTGTGCACATAAGAGCAACCTACGGGGGCTGCCAGTACACGAACAGGAAACAGCACTCGCACACCAGGCACTTCTGTTTTTAATTAACTTACAGTTAGACCTACAACAAACCAAGAGTTAAACACTAGGTTGTTTAGCCTTTAAGTAACACAACAGTGCAATCTGCAGTTCACAATGAACAGCATACCAACAGGCTGACTGAAGACTATTGAGTAAAAGAGGAAGTGGTGGGCACATGGAACGCCAGGCTTTCTTTTTCCCACTCATCCCCAACAGCACATGGGTTGTTGTTATATGTAAATCATGTCAATTTAAAAACAAAAGCAGCTATAACAGCACATTTAATAGTCTCTAAAACAACATATTTCTATAGTTAAAGTGGCTTAACCCTAAGACTACAGGTACCTGCCAGAATAAAATGTTCTTTATCTTTTTCCAAGGGACAGCAGCATCTTATTAAACACAGAGAGAACCCTGTCTAGTAGGTGATGTAAAAATGAAATTAATTGATTAAACTTGAACAGATCTAGCAGGGGAACCTGCAGACAACAGGTGCATTCTAAGCAAAGTTTCACCATGTATTATATGGTTGTAAACGATTTCAGACAGGACAAAGCATTCTGTGAAATCACCCGAAACAAGTCTGTTTACAGCTTGGAATGGTAAGCCAGCACCTTGAACTGCATCTGAAGTCTACCCTGAAACCAATGGAACTCCTTCAAAACTTACAATATATACTCATAGCAACTGAACCAAGCAGCTGCATTCTGGGCCAAATGAAGTTTTGAAACTGTTTTCAGTCCTAGTCACAGCATCATCATCATCATCATCATCATCATCATCATTATAACATTTCTATGCCGCCCCTTGCCGAAACCTCATATTATGAATATTATACAGAAAGTTTAAAAAGCTAGTATGACCATGGCAAAACGCACACTAAGCCACAGTGAAGACCTAGACTCCACCAATGTCATATCCAGAGTCACTCTTTGCTGCCTTTTATAATGCTTAATTACATATATTTATGTATTACTTTGAATTATTTAAAACACAGTATGTAATTTGAAACCTTAAGACAACCCTTAAAGCACCTTAAGATGAAATCTTGAGCACCCTTCAGACAACTTACAAATGGATTTTTAAACACAAAAAGTTGTATAACAGTGATAGAGTATCACATTAACAGTATAACCGTTTCTAGTAGCAGCATATTATTAACTTGCTCCAAATATCTTCACATTCATAACTATGTCTCCATAGGAGTTCCTCATCGCTTCACGAGAAAAGACCTGCCTCATGTACCCACTAGCTTTACTTTTGTGTGTGGAGAAATATGGAGAGAATCTTCAGTGTGCCTACACACAAAGTCCACCCTGAATTTTCTGACAGTTTTAGATTTTTGAAAAACTTGGATCTCTACTCTGCAATTTGTGCAACTATATACAAATTGAACAACTTTATGCAAATTATGGAGTAGAGGCTTGGATTTTTTTTTTTTTTGCATAATATTCCTACAGAAATTGCAGCCCATTTTAAAAATGGGTGTTTGCTTGCTAGCTCAAGTTTGATCAGATAAAGTCAGCACCAGTGCAGGGTTGATAGAATGGAATGCACAGGGTCAGGTCAAGACAGTTGATCAGGCTTTCTCTCCTCTGTATTTGAATCCTCACACATCCCTAATTAGATGTATGGCTGTTGTATTTTGAGCCAAGTGAAGTTTCTGAACACTTAAGACAACCCCATGTGCAGCACAGTATGTAGTCTAATGTAGAGGTTACCATGACATAATGGAGGACCTTACATTTAAAATCAGAAAATTGTAATTAGTTATAGTTAATAAACTCGGTTAAAACTTTAAGAAATGCCTGGATATAATGTTTTTGTAATCCTCCTATCATTTTAGCATAACTCCATGTTTGCCTTCCCGTAATTGCCAGAGTTCACCTCTTATCTTGGAAAGCAGTTGCTTATATGTAGGTGCAAAAAGAGATGCTATTCTTCCATCCGCTGCTTCTCTGAAGTATTACAGAATTGAAATGGGCTTAAGTATTCTGCAAAATTCACAACAGTCTTTGTATTTTACATTCTTTTCAACTTCATTTGTAAAGCTCAAAGTCAGTGT